GAGAAGCAGAGGTGTCTCCACTGTGGAACCACCACCCGCTTCCTAACTGGGAATGCTGGGATTCTGCACACAGGACAGACCCCACTGTGGCCTCAGCTCTAAGCATCAGCAGGAGACCCTAACCATGACTCCTGACCACCACCACCCCAGGATCTCCACATGGAGCCCAGGCTCTCTCTACCCAATCCAAACCTGCAGAAAGTCCGAGTGAAGTCCACATGCCAGCCAAGAGTGTTCTGGTTCTCCCCAGGCCCCAAATGTTGAGGTACTCTCCTTGGACCCTCCACTTCCTACAGCAACAGCACCCCAACCCGTTGGTGCCCAGAGAGGAAGAGGATGATCAGGGCTGAGCAGGGCAAGCAGGCTGAGGAGACCAGAGGGCCACACACTGGACTAGACACACTGGAAGTGACAGTGGCTGAGGAGGGCCAGGGTGGCACTTGATGAAGAATTGGGAATATGTGGACAGTTAAGGTGCTGACAAATGGCCACCTGGCAGAAGACTAAGATGATGGACTTATGTTTTCAGACTTCAGACTCCGGGTTCTCTGCATTTTCCTAAGGATTGGGAAGATGCCAAGTCTGGGTGTTACAGCCCTGGAGGGCTCAAGTGGAGGGGTCCAAGAACTGCTGCACATTTGCAAAGCTCTGGGTGCCCTGTAGGCCCTGGCTGGACACTCAGGTGGGCCCCAGAATGTGCTTCAAATCCAGGAGGTGTCAGAGGGGTGGACTAGTGGGTCTCAGTCCTGGGCTGGTCTGCTCAGTGGCATCTCTCTGGGGTGAGTCCAAGGTCCCACAGGACAGGTGGGCCCAGGACTACCTAGCAGGGCTGTGGAGGGACCTCAGGTCAGCAGGCTGATCTTCCTGGCCCAATCCCTGCCATCCTGAGCTTGCCATAGCCAAGGGGTTCCTGGGCAGGGGTTGGGGAGCAGGGCTTCATGTGTCGTCTACCTGTGGCAAGCTGCCCTCTCTGACGCTCGCCTGGCAGCACTGCAGAAAGGCACGGCCTGCAGGAAGCACCTGCAAAGAGGACTAAGGGCAGGAAGCAGATCCAGGGTGTGCCTAGGACCGCGGGTGCTGAGCCCCACCCAAGCCTTTCTGCCAGATGGGGCAGGTTTTGTTGCAGGTAACTCAACCAGGGCTGAGAGGTGGGGCCCTGTCCTTGAGCACAGCCTCCAAGCCTGCTGAAACCCTAAGACTTGGTCACCTCTTCGAGCCCTGGGGCTATGACCCACTTTGCTCTGAGACTGGATTTTTCTCCCAGATTTCTCAAAAGGAAGCTGCCTTTGTGCAGGGCAGTGAAGACTAGAGCTTGCAGAAGTGAAGGAGCCCAAAACAGAGGACTCATGGCAGAGGTCTAGGAACAACAGGTGGCTGGGTTGAACTTGCTGAAGCCAGGCCCCCTGGTGCCAGGCACTCGTTCCTTGTCTACCCCACCTGCTGGACCAAGTGAGCGACTCGGAGGTTTCACTGATATAGAAGAGAAACTGGGAAAGGAACGGTGGTAGCCAGAGCTGGCCCTGCTCTGAGAGAAGCCCTAGGCTTGAGCTGAGTCTGGGGGCTTCTAGGGCCCTCCTCCTTCACCAGCTGTCTCAGGGAAGAGGACCCCTACAGTCCATTTTAGATGCAGCTGTGGCTGGTGGCCATACAGGAAGTAGCCTGGCCACCAGCATAATGGCTCTTTGTCCTGTCTGCCCCACCCAGGAAGGCCATGGGCCTGGCCAGGGCTGGAGGCTGGGTCCCCTCAGCTCAGCCACCAGCTGCTGCAGCCTAGGGGCTGGGCCAGACCATCCTGGGGGGAGGTCACACCAGGCTGCAGCCAACCTCCCTGTTCCTTCTTACTGCCATGGCCATGCTGCACCTGGCAGGTGGGCCAGTCTGCACCTCTGCTTCGCTGCCCCTTGTTTTGCAGAGTATGCAGTGCAGCTGCTACCCACTGGTCTGGTTGATGTGGCCTGTTGTGTTGTGGGAACAGCTGACCCTTAAGCCACCGTGCTCTTCCTTTGGAGCCTCCAGCCCTGTCCATCCTACCCCAGATCCACTCACACTCTTGATTGGTAGGGATGGAGGGAGGCCTCTTGAGGCTTGGGGCTGTCCAGAGACTTGTCCTGTAAGGGCCCCAGGCCTCCTTCCTGGTACCTTCTGGCCCTCAAGGGCTGAGGGTCTGCTGGCCCAGGTAGGAACTGGCACAGCAGCAGAGCATGGGGTTTATGCTAGGACCCAGACTGGACCTGGCAGAACCGGATGGAGACTCAGGGCCTGATTTGCCCAACAGAGGAGTGGTTGTAGTGACACCTCAGTGTGACTGACAGATATGACAACTTTGTCCTCTCTGGACGGGACCCAAGCAGAGCAGCAGCGGTTATTGCAGAGTTAGAAGGCAGTGCAGCCAGAGCAGTCTTCCTTCCTAAGAGCAGATGTTTTGGGGAAATCATTGGAGACACATGAAGGGCCTGGGACCCCAGAGAGCTAAGCTCAGCTTGGTTGGGCCCTCCCCTTGGTAGAAGTACAGATGCCCAGAGGAACCCATCGGGGGGCCTTTGTGGGGGCTATCTTGTGCTCCCCTCCATTCTTCTTGCTTTGACAATTCCCCAAGAGCCATTATATTTTTTATTTTTATTTTTGGTGCTGGAGATTAAATCCAGGGGCAAAATATCTATCACTAACCTATTGCCCCTTTTTTTAAAAAAAAATTTGAGTATCCTGCTGAGTCACTAAGATGACTAAGCCTATCTTACGATGCTCCTGCACTCAGATCATGGTGGCAGTGTGACATGTGGTGAGACAGGAGGAGAAATGGGGCTGTGTCACAGCAATGAGAGGGGAAGGGGAAGGAGCTGTCCATCTCTGGCTCGGTTTGCAACTTGGGAGACTCCCAAGCAACTTGCTTCACCACTGCAGCTGGTGGCACTGGCACGATGCATGGGGTCACCTGCTCTGTCCCACCAGCCCCAACCTCCATGGCTCAGTGGCACAAACCCATTCCTATGTAGGCCCAAGGCCAAGAGCAAGGTAGGTGCACAGCGCAGGCTGCCAGTGTTCTGGGAATAGCTAGGTGCTTCTCAGCAGTGGGTAGGAGCCGATGGCTGGGGGTCAGAGCCTCCCGCTGGGCCTGTGGCAAGCTCAGAGCCACGATGTGCTTTCCTTCATGCACCACACATAGCAGTGTGTGCAGGCAGATGGATGACATGGGCGTGCATGTTTAAAAAGATGCAAAGCTGGCGTCTTGCTGGATGCAAGCCCCTAAACAGGTGCTTGCACCTGCCAGGAAGTGTGTGGGCCCTCGGGTTTACCTGCCTGGAGAAACAGAATCTATGTAGATGCCATGGGAAAGCTCTCCCCCAGCCTAGCCAGACAGTCTTGGGCCCTGCCCTGTACACCCTCTGTCCTCTGCTCTGACCCTAAGCACATGGGTCTGGCCCTTTGCACCTGAAGATATCTTCCTTCAGCCAGTAGCCAGTGTCCTCTGGCCACCTGGCAGAGCTATCCTTCCTGGCACCATTCCACCAGCCCCCATGCTCCACTATGGCTGTCAGAGGGAGCAGGGCCTGCACCCTTCCTCCACCCTGCAGTCTTGGGGTGCTCCTCCTAGCCCCAGCTCTCCGATTCTCCCTGGGCTTTGTGTGGGCCCCACCATGTTGCTTGATGGATGGCAACTGTAGCTGTACAGGCTGCCTTTTGTCATCCCTGGGTGCTCTGTGTCTGTCCACGGCCCTTCACTGAATAGTTTCTGGGATGGCCAAGGGGGTCCTACCATGAAGAGGTCAGAGGTGAACAGTCTCCTGCTCTGAGGCCGTGGTAAGCACCTCTGGGTGTGCAGTCAGTGGTCAATGCCTTTGTCTCCCTATACCTGTTGACCCCTCCCCACCCACCCAACACCAGACACCCTGTAGGCACCAAGAAGAGTAGTGTCCTGGGGTTCCTGAATGCTGAGGGGTCCATCCCCTGTATAGCTGAGCATAGGAGTTGGGGCCAGAGGTCATTGCTCCCAGGCCTAGGACCAGGCACCAAGCCAGCACCTGGCGGGCAGGGAGCCTCAGCTCAGCCTTCTAAGGAAGCCAAGGTAAGCTCAGTGGAGTAGTGGATGGCTGTGAGATGCTGCTAGCAGGAGGGTACGCTGAGAACCTCAGTGGGTACAGAGGCCTGGGTAGTGTAGGCATGGAACCCAGGCTGAGCTGTTGGTGGTGCTACTTGCTGTTCCGGTCAGCTTGCCCTCACTGGCCAGGTTTTCTCTGGGAGACAGTCTGGGGCCTGTAGGCCCAGGCAGATGGAACACTGGGTCTCAAGATGCTGCCCTCCTGGGTGCCAGCTGGCAGACAGGCTCTTGGCAACCAGGAGTTTCCACCAATACCACTAGCTTGTTATGGGAAACAGTGGGCCCTCCGGGATCCTTCTGTCACTCAGGCTAATTGCGGGGATTGTTTGTCGTTGGTTAGGGGCCTTCCACTGGGAGCCTGAGAAACAAACATACCTGGGGGAATGAGAGTCTCTCTCAAAAAGGAGTTGGGGTCTCTCCCCAGATTGGCTTGAGCCTCCCCCAGGCCCAACCAAGCCCCCAGTTAAGGATTCTCACACCCCTGTCAGGGGCTCCACAGTAAACTCCCAAAAGATGTCAGTCTCAGCACCAGGTTGTCCTTCAGGGAGGCCTGAGGGCCCCCCACCAACTCCCAGCATGTGTCTGTGGGCTCTGCGGCTCCTCCCCAGGCTGGGGCTAAGGCCTTGGAATGGGTCCAACATCCCTTCCCACTGCCCCACGGCTCAGCCAAGTCCTGGAGCTAAGAGCAGGCCCAGCCCTGGGTCTGAGGGAGCCACCCCAGGGCCTGGGACCTGGGTGAGTCCCTGCCCACATGGCATACCTGGCCAGGCCCCACAGAAGCCTCCACGCCTGAGTTTTTGTTCAATTCATGTTGGCAGGCCAGGTGGGGGCCAGAATGTACAGGGCCTGCTGCCCGCCCCTGCTACGTCACAGGAGCTGCCTCCCTCCCAGCCTATGAAAGCCCAGGGGACACACCTGTCGGTGGCTAGGAGCAGAGATTGGCTGGCTGGAAGCAGGCACCTGCACGGGGCGGGGTGAGCTGCTACATGTAAGGCGAGCCCAGCCACACCAGCTCTTCCCTTTCCCAGCAGCCCACAGTGCCGACCTCGTCATTGTCCCTAAGCTATCCACTTGTCCATGCTCAGCCTGTCTTTCTCTTTGTGTTTGAGCCTCACTGGAGGGAGATAGTCAGGCCTCCTGGCCCCACGCTGAGGCTGGATCTGAGTTGGGGGAAGGTTGGGCCAGAGCGAACCTGAGCACCAGATTGTCCATCACTGTGACAGGTATGGGCGAAGGTGCCCAAGCTTCTCCATGTCCTCCCAAGGCCTGGCTCACATCCCTGGGGTCCTGGAGCAGGGACAGTGCTGGCCGCAGGACTGAGGACGAGAGCAACTTCCACCCTGCTCCTCAGCAGCGGAGGAACCTGTCAGGAACCTGTTGGGGCAGGTAAGGGCGGGCAGGAGGGGGAGGCTGCTGTGCAAGGAAGCTCAGCTTGGCTGGGGCCAGACCAGACCGTGGGGGCTGTGTTGACCAACCGTCTACTCGGGAGCCAGCACAGCCAACGTGCAGTGAGGGATGGTGTTGGTGGGTGCAGAGCATGCAGGCTTCCTTTCCTAAGAGAAGGTGGGTCCCTTGAGCCGTGGCTGGATTTCAGTGCGGAGCCATCTTGGGCCGGCCAAGGAGCTGTTGGGGTCCACAGGCCACATCATCAAGCCAGGGAGGTTCAGGCACCAGATAGACTGAGGACAGGCTCCCAGAGGGATTGCACCCATTATTGACCTGGCAACAGGACCTTCTAGGAAGTTCTTTTTCAAAGAGGAACTGACATTCCTGATCTACTTTGTTCTGAGATGGGAGGGCTGCGGTCTCCAAGGTAGGTGTGGAGGATCCGGGGTGGGATGACTCTGTCTCTGCTCCAGAATTTATGTCTGTCTGCTCATGGAAGGCTTGGTTTTTTCAACAGCCATGGCCCGGAGTGACCTTGTGATCAGAGACTGGCCAAGGCCTGTAGGCTGGTGATCAGAGACTGGCCAAGGCCTGAGCAGGAAAATGGGCTGTTTCTCACCTGCCCATTTCTGTGGTGCTACCTTAGAGCTGGGGCTACTGTTACGTGGAGTCAGAAGCAAAGTTGATTCTAAAGACTTTTAAAATACCAAGCAGCAGGGTGGCATTGAGCGGGGACAGTGAATCTGATCACCTCTGCCCTGTGCTGTAGGGCCAGACACACCCAGCCAAAGCCTGCACCTGGCTGCTGGCTGCTTGCACAGTTTCAGGTTTGGAAGTTGACAATGGTGATGGGTGGCAACTTCATTTTCTTTGTGGCAACAGAATTGTTTTCATTGTTCTTGGTGAACAAAACTTTTAAGGTGTATACTATGTTTTGATTAATTTACTGTTAGCATTATAGGCCTTTTTTAGGATAAGCATCTGGAAAAATAGATTTCATTCTGTTTTGTTTTTCCCACATCCAGACGAAATGTAGCACAATTGGTAGCTTCTTGAATTAGGCAAAGTAAATTTTACATTTATGAAAATGAAACTCAACCATAAAACATGGACACAGTCCACTGTTAATTTTCAGACATTTTCATAATTTGCAAGTACCTTATTTGCAAAATTGGTTCACTGGGTGATTTTAGTGTCCTTAGAATCAGGTGAACTGTTCTAAGGAGGAACCTGGCCCCTCAGAGGCACAGCAGGATGTGAGTGTGCCCTGCGTGGCCGCCAAAAAGGGCTAAGGGACGCAGCTGGCTGTGTGGGCGAAATGGCGGCTTTGCCTCGAAGACACGTAGCCACTTCGGCGGAAGCTAAGGCAGACCTGAGCAGGGAGAGCCAAGCCCGCTGCCCCCGCCCCCCTCCCAACCCCCAGCAGCCTCTGGCGTCTGGATCTGGCTGATCCAAGGCAGGCAGGAAAGGTTGGGTTTCAGTGCTTTGTTCTCTAGGCGGCCTGGCCATTGATTAAGGCCCGTTGGGCAGGTTAACCAGCCACTTGCTTTTGCACACCGGGATTGCATTCCTGGCCAGGCCCCCAGCCTCCTCCTGCTGCATGCTGGACACCATGGGGGGTGTTTGCTCTGCAGACCAGCCTGGGGCCTCTGGACCACCTTGAGCCTTTCCTCAATTTTCCCAAGGGAGCCTGGTGGAAGGTGATGATTAACCAAGCGGTTGGGGAAGACAGGCCTTAGGAGCCTGAGGTACCTCGCCCAGGAGGGCACCATGCTGCTCCACCCAGGCAGGCACCATGCTGCCCAGAGAAGAACCTGTTTTCACTTTTAATTTCTCAACCGATGGCTGAAGCTCAAGCTGGTCTCACCCCTCCCCTGCCCCTAGGCCAGGACAAGCCAGGGTTCTCTACTGAGCTGCTGTGGCTGGAGGCTCCATCTCCTGTGCCAGCCTTGCAGTGATCCTCCTGCCCACTGCTTGCTCCAGGCCTCTTTCAACCCTTTGGGCAGGATGAGGCTTCTGACCACCCAGTGGGCGGTGTATAGCACTGGTTGGTCTCCCTGGCTGTAGCCAGACCAGCTGTGTGCTCTGTAGGGCTCCCCAGCCCTCAGGGCTCCCCAAGAAGTTCTGACCCTCAGTGGCCAAGGGCATTAGTGACATCAGGCCTGTCTGCCCACTGTGTTGTGAACTGCGCTTGACCTGGCCTGAAGGGTTGGATGCTAGGCCCCTGACTACCCGCCCCCCCAGCCTCCACAGCTTTCCCTGTGGCCTGCAACCAGGAGAGGAGTTAAAACTTTCCTCGATCTGAAAGGGAAGCCTTAGCTCAGAGAAGAAGTGAGACTGCATTCTTTTTTTTTTTTTTTTTTTTTTTTGTCTTTTTCCTTTTTATCGGTACCAGGGATCGAAGTCACAACTGCCTGCTTGCAAGGCAGGCGCTTATGCCGCTGAGCTAAACCCCCAGCCCTGAGACTGCATTCTTAAAGCACAGATCTAACAGGGTCTGAGGGACAGATGTGTGAACCTGAAGGAAGGGCGCTCTTATCTCTATGGTACCTGGGGCTATGGGGCAGGGAGTTGGGGCACCAGGGACTCAGACCCCGCACAACCCTGGGGGGTCCAGATGCCTGAAAAGCAGCAGACCCACCTGCTGGGCTTACCTTGGGTAGGGCAGGTCCTTCAAGAAATGCTGGCCACAGGGAGGTCTGGGCAGTGGCTGGGTCACCATGGCCCCTGCTGTGGCTGGCTGGCAGCCTGGTAAAATCAGCTCAGCCTGCAGCCCTCCACAGCCTGTGCAGGAAAAAGGTGCTGCAATCAAGTTGCTCAGCTGGCTTTCCAAGCCCAGGTTGCCATGGATGGTAGGCTCTGGAAGAGGTCAAGGTGCCAGGCCTGAGTGTCCTGGGCTTGGCTCTCTGAGGGGCTGCAGGCTGGGCCCTGATCATGCAGGGGTGGAAGAATTCCCCCTTCTAAGTAACCCTGTCCTCGTGGGTACCTCAGCAAAGGGTTCTATGTACTGCTTGGGGCTGCTGTCTCCATCTGCCTCAGAGCTAGACTGTAGGCCCCAGTGCCACTGGGAGACAAACAACCAAAGGAAGGCCATCCTGCTTCTCGAGCTAGGTTGCTTCTCCACCAGCACCTTTCCTGGGCCCTAGAGAAGGGCAGGCAGGAGCTGGGCAGGAAGCAGGCTCTGGACAACGTCCTGGGGTAGAGTTGTAGAGTCCAGCAGTATGGCCTGGCCAGACTCAGTCATAGGAGGTGCAGATCTGCGCACGCACTGGAGACCCGGGGTCATGCCTCTCTCCAGGGCCATCTTCTGCTCTCCTTTCTGTCCTTCGAACCACCAGCCTCTGGGTAGGACACCCTGGCTCTTGGAGTGCCCTTCTGGGCCCACGTAAGGCAGGGCTGGGGGGCAGGTGGAGATTCACCATGGCCCCAGCCAGTGAGGCTTCAGACACCTGGGACCCTGCCCAGCCCTTGTCTCACAAGGTTATTCCCCACCCCAGGGCCTAGAGAGGACACAACTCCCCTCAGCACCATCAGACCCCACCTGATCCCCAGCTGGCGGCCCCTACACCAATCTGGGCAGCCGTGGCCATCTTACTGGGCAGCATTGGATGGTGTCTGGTCTCTAATACTGCCTGGTAATGATGACGGCGGAGCCCTGCATGCAGCAACGGGGCCGCCCTCCCTGCCTTCCCACCCCATGAGTTCCCACAACACATCCATCCTTCCATCCTGCCCACTCACTGCTTGTGGGTGGAGCTGCAGGACAGAAACTCTATCTTGGGAAAAGAGGCTGTGGGAAGCCCCCTAGCTTCTCTGATGAGCACCCCCAGACCCCAGGACAAAAGGCTTCTTGCAGCTGCTCTGCCCCGCCTCTCCAGCCAGTATTCTAGGGATTAGGACACTCAGGTATCCGGGCCATACCCACAGCACCCAGCACCCGGGCAGGTGCTGCTGCCACACCTGGCAGGTGTGGGCTAAGAGGACCGCAGCAAAGGGCTCCAGGGGTAAAGACTCAGCAGGGCCCACAAGGCCTCATGAGGTAGGGGTGGGGCTGTGCTGATCCAGGGTGGGGCACCGAGGCTGGGCCTCTCCCCTTTCCTCTACCACCATGAGATGCCCAAGGTCTCCTCAAGAAAAATCAGGGAAGGCAGACAGTGGCTGGGACCTTACCAAGCTGCTGGCCCCATCTAGCCAAGGCCATTCATTGAACTGGTCACCAGGTTCTGCACCTGTAGGTAGAGAGCTGTACATCTGTCCCTGTGCCCTCAGGCTGGGCGCACCTGGGCCTCTGTGGGCATCTTACCGGACAGTGCTGGATTTCTTGGCTTGACTCTAACACTGTCTGGTAACGATGTTCAAAGGTGACCCACTGCTCTGGAGATAACCGAAGATGTGCTGCTCCAAGTTCCTGGATCCAGAGGTAGGCAGGGCAGGGGCCCTGCATCCCTGGGTGGGGGTGGGGGCTCAGCATTCAGACCTGTGTTAACGCCCTGCTTCTGGAGACCAGGGAGAGCAGTATGGTTCAGGTGCCTGAGTACACGCATAGGGAACTGAGGACGCCCCCCCCCCCCACACACACACTGTTTCCTGCCCAAGGACAAGGAGTCTGCATTCTGTTTGCCAGTCAAGGAGAACAGGAAATTTGTCCAAAATTATAATCCAGGATGACCCATTTTATCTCTCTGATCTGAGGCCAAGGCACTGAGCCAGGAGCTCACCTGTTGTGGGATGGGCTGGGGTCTGCCCTGACCTTCTGCTACTGATTAAGCTACCTAGAATCACTCAGGAAACTGTGAGGCTGGAGGCGAACATTTGGCCTGGATCCATTGGTCCAGATCACTCCCTGGTGTCATCCACAGCACCAATACCCAGACCCGGGCAGTGTCAAGCCAGGCCAGCAAGACTTCCTCAGAGCAGCCCTGGGCTTGGGACTGGCTCCACTGTCAGGAAGGTGGGCGCCCCCCAGACACCTTCCCTCCACAGGCACCAGGACCAGCAGGACCCATGCTCGCCCACGATGGGCGTCTTACCAGACACGGTTAGATCTGGATGCTTCTGTCTAATACTGTCTGGTAATGCCGTCCATCCACGGCCTGGTCACCGCGGGAGCAGAACCCCTGGCCCCACAGGACTGTCACTGGACACCAGGCAAAAGCTTGAGTCCTGTGGTCTACCTTATACAGCTGCCTGGGGCCCCAGGACCCTGCCACCTCTCTTACCCTACAGTGGCTTTGTTAACCACAGAGGTACTGGTGTGACCAAGGGTTCCATGCGCTGAGACCTGCATCTGCTGCCCTCAGGGGTACAGGCAAATGGGGCTGTCACAGCACAGCCTGATCCCTACACTGAGGGTCTACCAGGGCAGTCACCTGGCACGTGCAGAGGTGGAGCCCCCCCACCCTGAACCTCGGCCCTCAGTACCCCCCATGCACACATAGCCAGGTGGCTAACAAGGACCCAGGAGAAACAGCCCTGCCTCTGCCCATGATCCCAAGCTTGCCCCCGCCCCCCAGTGTGGGGGGAAAAGAATACTTGGGCAGGAAAGGGAAAGTCAGCCTGTGACTCACCCCAGCCAGCACCAGGACGCAGAGACTTGGAAGGTGCCAGAGGAAGGTCCTGGGGATGGGGAAAGGAGCCACCTCCCTCCACACATCTGGGGATGAGGTGGTTGGGAGGTCACCTCTCTGCCAGGGGTCTGGCCAGGTAACAGTGACCAGGCAAAACAGGTGTGCAGGTTGTGCAAGCCTTGCCCCTGGTTCCCATTTGGCCTCCAGCTTGGTCTGCTAAGACTTGGGGAGCTGTCCTGCACCCCAACATTGGGCACAGAACAGCCCAGTCTTGCATCAGCAAACCCTCTCTCCTAAGCCCTTCTCTCTCAAGAGAATTTGAAGCAGTTCCACAAAGCCAAAGGCTCCCGAGTGGCTTCAAACTGGTTTGTAATTTGAACCTGAGGGGCAGGAGTTTGCTGTGATGAACACTTGCAGTGGACCCCACCACCAGGGAACATGGCAGCTCCCTTATCAGACACATGTGAACCTCTGACCTCAGTCCTGGACCCAAACATCCACACCCCAGTGTGGCCAGATAATCCTGCACCTGGCCACCCTGTGTCCTCATGGATCTCCTCTGTATCCTTGGTGGTGATGAAGCCAGTCCCTCTTGAGAGCCACTCTGCTCATAAACAAGGAGCCCTGGGACTCAGCTGACTTCACCATCCCAGAGTGGCTCCCACCCAGCAGAGCCCTGGACTCTACGCCAGGCCTCCCTGGCGAGGCACCTAAAGGTATAGATTCCTCCCCATTCTTGCCTGGCTCCTTGTGAACAAAATGTCTGTATGGCAATAAACTAATCCCTGAAAGTGAGTGGACTCTGACTGCCTTCTTGTAATTATACAGAATGGTGACCAGAGCTTTGTGTGGAGGTTAGTGACACTGTTGGGAGAGAGGGCCCCTTCCCTGGCTCCATCCTCGAGTCTTTCCCGTCTCAGTTCTGGTCCCAAGGAAAGGGACCAGGAGCAGGAAGGACAGGGCATGATTCTGATGGGGACAGCAGACTGCTCTGAGACAGAGCCCTCCTCCGACCCCAGGCCTGGGAAAGGAAAGCGTACACCCAAGTTATGGCCCAGCAAGAAGCCGCTGGCGGGTAGTGCTGAGGGGGCCTGGAAGGCTGTGTTCCCAGCAGAGGAGAGGCTACCATGGATGGTGAGGGCCATGGAACTGGGACTGCCTATGCCCACCAGGCAAGCTGTTCCAAGACTCTAGAAGACATGCTGCCCCTGATGCAGGTTAGGCAGCCCAAGAGCCAGGCCAAGCATTCCCTGTACATGGTCCAGATAGGCTCTCATTCCCACCAGGGTGAGGGGCTCTCTGCCCAGGCCACCTCTTCCCTGGCCACTAGACAGACCATAACTGCCTGAGCAGAGGGTCTCTTGGGCCAGCACAGGTACTGGGTGTACCAGGACTGAGTCCAGAGACCCTCAGTTGGATGGGGCCAGCAACGGTAAACTGACCTGCCCCCAGGAAAATAGGGTAAGGGTAGAAATCCTGGGGTTCTCCACAGTGGGCATCTCTCCACCCTAGCCATGCTTTGGGAGATACCCCATCCTGACAGCTCAGGGAAGAGCCACATGGGGTGCAGCCCAGGGCACGGAAGTCCCCAAGCAAGCAGTGCTGTGCAGTAGCCCAGAAGGAGAGAAGGTCAGCAGGGCATGGGCCTACACGGCTGGAGGCCTGGGTCAGAGCCCGCTCAGCACCAGCACCCCCTGCCCCTCGACCCTCTACCATACCTCACCCTGCCTTGGCCCTTCACCAGCCACCTAATGCCCATGCTTACCCAGGTTCTACTGGGACACAGTTACCAGGTAACAGTTGCTGGGAGATGTTGCCAGGTCACCACTGTTGTATCCCAGCAGAGGGCTCCCGAGACCTCTTGGGCAGGTAAAGCAAGGTCCTCCTGGCTGAAGCGGAGCTTGGCCTTGCCCTCCCGTGGCCCTCTGGGGACCCAGGAGTCAAAGGAAAGGAACAGGGACTGGAGAGAGAACGTTGGCTTGGCTGAGCTAAGCCTTCTCCTCAGGCAGGCCTAGGGGAGGACTGGGCACCTCAGCACAAGTTCACCCACAGCAGGCTTGTCTCCTGGAGGGGCCTGTGAGGTGAGTTTCCGCAACAGCACACAGACATGTTTTCTTGAACGTTTTCTTCAGAATTAAAAGCATCTGTCCAACCAGAATGACTTCCCCCCAGTCTTTAATCTGACCAGATAAAAGGAGTATTTTTAAATTTATTATAAAATTGTGAATGCTCTGCCTGACCTTTACCAGTTTTCACTTCATGTTTCTGTAGTGTCCCATCGAAAGGCTCCACATCACTCACTGCTGCGGACAGCTCACTTCCTGGCCCTACTCTTAGAAAGAGTGGCTGTGAAGCCTCTGATGTGAAATTCATTTCTGGATTTAGAGTCTTGTCCTTTAGAGTCCCTGGACATGCAGCTGCCAGAGGACACACCTGCCCGGCAGCCCCGCTGTGCATGCAGGACCCCATGTTTGGCACACTCCTGCTAGGGCTTTTTGAGAACTCTTTGTCCATCTGAATGACAAGAAATAATAGTGACTCGTGGATTACTTAATTCTTTGTGAAAATAACAAGTATCAAAGTTAGAGAAGTCAGGCTCATGATGAAGAACAGTGCACCCACATTCCCGTCAGGATGTCTCGGCTGCAGTGATGGTCAGGGTGGTACAGGTGGGACAGGGCTGCTGTTTTTCTCTATGCTTCTGTTTGAATTTTCTAACTGCCCTAATTTTCTAAACAGTGCCTGATGCTGCTGTCGCTTGCAGGAGTGACGAGGACACTGGCACCCACTCACCTGTGAGTGCCCCACAGTGCCAAGCCCCACAGCATCCCCCAAGACCCCTGCCCTGTGGGGGACCCCTGCCCCCAAGACCCCCTTCCCTGAGCCAGTCACACCTCAGTCTGAACATTGTTTGCCTGAACTGTCCCCATGCCCCACCTCCTGGCCACTTGTGTTACTGTCCTCACCCTAATGCATACTTGACGGGTGGCAGGCACTATCCTGAGGTACCAGGTAGAAATTCCATCTTTATGCCTGGCTCTTGTCATCCTTCCCACTCAGTATGCAGAACAACTGAGGCAGAGACTTTAGGCAGCAGTGACGCCTCTTTCTTCTGGCCCCTCGTTCTGGGAGCCGTCCTTCCCTGCCTCTGCCTGGCTGGCTGGATAATGGAAGTCAGAAGCTTCACAGCAGCCTTGCATCCTCCTCACGGCTGGGGTGCTCTGAACGGAGGCCTAGCCTGGTGGGTCTGTGATTCGGATTCTTCCTTTAGGCTCTGCCCCTGCTCCGCTTCCTGGGTCATTTCCCAGACTTCAGTTCTGACCCTGTGTGTCTGAGGTCCATGCTCTTTCCTATTCTGAAGGCAGCCAGCTCCTAACTGGTGGCCTGGGGTCTCCTCTACCCCAGCGCATTCTTGTTCTTGGGCTGAGAGGCTTCTGTGTCGCTGTCCCCTTCCTCTTCTGTGTCTGTGTACTACTCTCACCCGTACACGTCGGAGGCCTCCCTTGGGTCCTCTGGGGCCAAGGAGCCCCTTGGGCTGAGACAGTGGAGAATGTCAGGGCTCCCAGGCCAACCACCAGGTCTTGGGAGCACTGGATGGGGCCAAGTCTACAGTGACCATGCAGTCTTAAATATGTATGTGTGCGCACACATGCACACACACTCCCCAGTTCACACCCTGGAGCCGGGAGGAGGCTGGCTCTCTGCAGAGGTGGAGACTACTGTGCTGGGCAAGGGCGCACCTGGCTCCTTGACTGTGGCAACTTTGCTTCCTCGTTTTCCATCTATGGGTTTGTTCTTTCTTCTCCTCTCATCTCTTCAGCAGGGTAGGATGGAGCAGACACAAGCCTGCCTGCCTGGCGGTCACAGGGCCACTGTCCTCGCTGGCACTGCTGGCTAGCCAGTTGGTCTAGCCAAGGGCAGTTTTTCTCTCTGGAGATAACCTGCGCCCCTGCTGCGCAGGAGCCTCTCATTGTGGTTTCCTCCCTAGACGTAGGCCTCCATGCCACCTGTCTTGCCCACGGTGACACGTTTATGTGCACACTGTAGCTTTCAGGAAGCCCTGCCTTCCTAACAGTCCAGAGCTGGATTTTTTGACACTAACATCTAATGACTTGTTCAGGAACTGGCTAAAAAGTTCTCTGAAATTGAAGCTGGGTGTGATGGCTTACATCTGTAATTTCAGAACTCTGGGAGACCGACATAGGAAAATGGAAATTTCCAGCCAGCCTGGATAACTTAGCAACTTAGTGAGACCCTGTGTCAAAAACAAAAAACAAAAACTCTGTGTGAAAGCCCTGGATTCAATCCTCAGTACTGAGGAAATATATATATATACTTATATGAAATATTCCAAAGTTGGCAAAACAGGGAAAGTGGGACAGTGCAGGCGCAGGGCCCGGAGGGAGGAGACCGTGTTGGCAGGATGTCAGCCACACTTCTGGGCTACAGTGTAGACCAGAGACCCGGGTCGGGGCTGAGAGCCTCTGGCCCTCCGACCCCCAGGGCCCCGCCAGGCCTGATGGCCACCCTCCTTACAGCCAACACTGGAACAGTGCCAACAGTGCAGAACTTGTTTGGCAGAGCAGGACGCAGAGATGGCCTCGACCCTTCAAGCTCTGAGGCGCCACAGCAGTCGCCGAGACAGGAGCCAGCTCCGAGCAGAAGCTACAGTTCGGGACAGGAAGAAGCAGTTTTCCCTGGGCAGGGCGGGTCTAACCCTGTGCCTTGTCCAAGGGCTGGGGCCTCGGGCTGCCCAAAGGCCCCGCAGGAGGGTGGGCACAGCACTTTATCAGAGGGGACCTTGCCGTGGGGCCCCAGTGCTGTTCACCCATGGCCGTGTCCTATTTGTCCACCACTGGGGTCAGCACACATGGACACACATGTGTTCCAGAAGACCCAAGCGGTCCAGGACCCAACGGCACCGTGTCCAGGTGTCAGGTGAATGCACAGCAGCCTGGCACAGCCCTGCCCTCACCTAGCCAGGGTTCCAGGGACAGGTGCCCCAGTCAGAGCAAGTGATCTCAGAGGAGGGCTCAGGCCCTGGGAGACACCATGCCAAGCAGTGCTAATGAGCAGAGAGGATGACATTCTCTCCCAGGCGAGTGGGTTCTGTCCACCCGAACCACTCCACCCTCCTCTCCCCTGGCTGACAATGGCCCTTGGGTCACTGGTGATGTCATCGTGGACATTGTGACCCCTTCCCCAGGGGACTCCCTGCAGGCCTGCTCTGGCCGGGGCTCGCACCCCTGCCCTGCATGGAGCTACGATCCTGTGGGTAAGGAGGGTGAGGTAGGTCTGCCTTTCCGGACCTTGTACCTCCTCCACACCACCTGGATCCTGCCCACTTGAGGGCTGGCCCTGATAGGGTGTAGCTGTCCCTCTAGGGTGTGATGGTCCAGGGCCCTCTGGCCAGGTCTGAGCTGGGCTGTGGTGGGACCCAAAGGACAAAGTGACCCCTCAGGAGCTGCTGGAATGGGTTGGGCACAGACTGAAGCACCTCACCCCATGGTCCCCAGGCTGGACCCATGAGAGACAGATGGGCAGCAGTGGCGAGGAGCAGCTGAGCCAACTGGTCTCAGATGCAGGTGGGCTACTGGAGCTGGAGTGGGCAGGGAAAGCCCCATGGATTCCAGAGCCCGAGGTGCTGAATCCCCCACTCCCACCTGTTTGCAGACCTCCTGGATGGTGCAGACACTGCCAGTTGCCCAGCGGCCCTCCTGAAAGAGTTCCTGCAGGACAGGGACAAGCATTTCCCTAGCAATGGGCAGGGTCCTTTCTTCTACATCGGCGGCAGCAATGGAGCCTCCATGTGAGTGGGGGCCCACGGGCTCTGGGTGCCTGCACCCCTGCCCTGGGCTTGGCTCCAGTGGCTACCTGCAGCCCTCTCCCCTCTTCCCTACGGTTGTGGGTCACTAGTGCCCTTCCCACAGCATCAGCGCCTACTGTAGGAGCAAGGGCTGGCAGCGCACCCAGGACAGCCGCCGGGAGGACTACAAGCTGAAGTGGTGCGAGATCAAGTGCCGGGACAACTACCACAGTTTCCGGGAAGGTGGGGCGCGCCCGGGTGGGGCATGAGTGGCCTTGCGGGCCTGGATGCCACCTAAACCACCCTTGTCCTTCTCCCACCAGGCCAGCAGCTGCTGTTCCAGCTCCCCAACAACAAGCTGCTCACCACCAAAATTGGGCTGCTTAGTGCCCTGCGGGAACATGAAAGGACCGTAAGCAAGGTGAATCGGATGCCACCAGGCACCCAGCCCAGGTGAGCCCCGCCCTGCCCACACCTGTCTCTGGCTCCCAACTGTTCTTGAAAGACCCCCAACTGTAAACACATTGCACCCCTCTGCCTCCACACCAACACCTACTACATCTGCCCCATTCCCATGGGTCCTCCAGTCTCTCCCTTTCACCCCCACCACATAGCCCCCGGCCATCAGCATATTCATTATTTAGCCACCCACCCAGGGGCTCATCCCTTTACCTGCCCATGACCCCACTCCTTCTACCACCTGCCACCCCCTGCGCCCATCTGCATGCACAGCCACCCTCTTCCCACCCACTTCTATCAGTAACTCAGAACTGTTCCCCAAGCCCTTTGTCTGTCCAGCAGCCCACCTGTCCACCCAGCAACTGTCCCCTAGGTCACCCATTCTCCATGCATGGGAGGTGGTTGTTCAGGCCATGTCCTGTGTCCCCCAGGGTGCATATCTGGAAAGGATGCCTTGGACCAGAGAGGCAGACACACTAATCCCAGTTGGGGGAGAGGTGTCATTCTGACCTGACCTGAAGGATGACCTGGCTTTGGGAGAAGGGAGAAAGCAAGCCAGACATTTAGTCAGGTCAGCCCGTGCTGACCACTTGTTGCATGCCAGCACTGTCCTAGCCTGGGACCCTGCTCTGAACTGAGGGTAGGGGGAAAGGACCAGGCTGGTCAGGCAGTGCCCAGAAGCCAGGGGTGTGACCTGCCTAAGTGCTCTGGCAGGGGTAGAGTAGGCCAAGGCCTGTGGAGAAAGCAGCTTGGAGGGGTGCAGGGTGCGAAGACAGGCATCCGGGCCCAAGAGGTCCGCAGAGGACACTCATGCCGAGCCTGGGGCCAAAGATAGTCTCTCCGATCTTCTCCACCTCCTTGGGCTTCCAGGGTGCTGAAAATGGAAGACTTTTTCCCTGAGACTTACCGCCTCGATGTCAGCAATGAGAGGCAGGCGTTCTTCACCCTGTTTGATGGTGAGCAACCTGGCTGGACCCCAGACAGGCAGGGCAGGACAGATGCTGGCCAGGATGTGGTCCTGGAGAAGTTAGCGAGGGAGGTAGAGAGGTAAAGCTGTGTTTGTGGGGTGGAGACATGGGGGTCTTGGTCCAGGTGTGGGTATGGTAGAGGGAGGACCAGAGTAGAGCACATCTGGGTGGGCCAGGTCTAGGTGAGGCATGAGCTGTAGCCAGAGCTGGGGTAGAGCAGAACAGGGCCAGGGCTGGGGGCTGGAGTGGTGAGGGCTGTGGGTGGGAGCAAAAAAAAAAAGGGGGGTCAAGTCTAGGCCTTTTGTGAGGCTGCTAGGGGCCGGACTGCGGTGGGGGGTTGTGTGGGGCCACCCAAGAGTGATGTCAGGGTGGGGTGGGGCCAGGAAGGGAAGTGTGGCCACGGATGGAAGTGGTAGGACCAGGATCTGGGTTTGACCTGAGATGGTCAGATCCAGGATAATCCACCCCTGAAGTCACAAATGGGCCATGAGGAAGGAGTGGCCATGGGGAGGGGACACCAGGGATTGGGCAGGGTAGAGGTCGGTGGGGTTGAGGGAGGTTGGGGGGGAAGGCTCACTGGAGGTGCTCCCTGCAGAAACCCAGATGTGGATCTGCAAGCCCACAGCCTCCAACCAGGGCAAGGGCATCTTTCTGATCAGAAGCCAGGAGGAGCTTGCCACCCTGCAGGCCAAGATACAGAGCATGGATGACGGTCCCCTTCACTGCAAGATACCCTTCCGGGGGCCTCAGGCGCGGGTGGTGCAGAGGTGCCAGTGACACTGGAAGAGCCTGGCCTGGGCGGGTGACCTGGTAGTTAGCAGTGCTGGGCCACCTACGGCTGGGCCCTGGGGCCACAGGAGGAAAGGTGTCACATTGTGTCCCTAGGGGCACAGGCTCTTCTCCTGTCTTCTCTCCACTTGCAGCTGCCCCACTCCTCCCCAGCCTAACCGGCCAGAGCTGACAGGCTTCCCTGTCTCCAGGCAGGGTTTAGACCTCGGCTTCCCTTCAGGCCCGGGTGCAAAGGGACACAGTGTGGAAATCACTCGGGCCATAACCCTCCCTTCCTCCCATCCCACCCTCCCAAGCCACAGCTCCCTCCTCTGGTCCCAAGGACCCACTGGACTCATCCCCTCCCTCCTTTTCCATTGCCCTCACCTTCCTGCCCCAGGGCCCAACCTGTGCCCATTCTTCTAGGCACAGGTTGAGGATCACACCCAGGCGGGCCAGACACTTGTGGTGAACTGAGACCTGGCACCAGGCCTTTCTCAATTTCTCAGACTTACTCAGGTCCAGAAAGAACCTGATGGTGGATGAGGTGCCTGCCCAGCCAGGGTGCAGGGACAATGGTCCAGGTAGGGAGGAGCCACATCAGGGCCCAGGCAGCTCAGCCCCAGCAGCCTCTGTGGTGCCCCAGGTACATCCAGAACCCACTGCTGCTGAATGGAAAGAAGTTCGACGTGCGCTCCTACCTGCTCATTGCCTGTGCTGTACCCTACATGGTCTTCTTTGGTCACGGCTATGCTCGCCTCACCCTCAATCTCTACGATCCCCACTCCAGTGACCTCAGTGGCCATTTGACCAACCAGGTAGGGGGACTTTCTGGGCAAGGGCTTCTCTGAAGGTGTGGGATGAGATCAGACAAAGGCTCTCATTGCTTAGGGACACCAAGGATGATCCCAGCTGTGGATGTCGCCCAAGCCCAAGAGGGCCCAGCCTTAGAGGCCATGGCAAGGACCCCAGGCATCCTGGAATGGTTCAGAGTCCTGCAGCCCCCAGCCTGGCTTCTACCCAATATGCTGAAGAAGGGCTGCCATGGGAGAGTCCCAGAGAAGGGCCCTGTGAGAGTCTGGGTGGCTTTTGGTCGAGGGGTCTCTCAGGCAGGTCTCTGCAAGGCCTGCTGTGAGGAGTAATGCCAGGTCCCTCTCTCCCACAGTTTATGCAGAAGCAGAGCCCCCTGTACATGCTGCTGAAGGAGGATACAGTGTGGAGCATGGACCACCTCAACCGCTACATCAACGACAAGTTCCAGAGGACCAAAGGCCTCCCCCAGGACTGGGTCTTCACCACCTTCACGGTATGTCCCTGCTGTACCGAGCCAGCTTGAGGGGCAGGGTGGGGACACTGAGGCTGGGGCCCCCAGGGGTCAAGATCTGCATGTGTCCATCTGGGCTGGCTTGGGGACAAGACTTCTACATGTCCTTGGAGGATATGTGCGCCTGCACTGAAGCTAAGTCTCCATATATGTGTTTTTTGTGCTATTTTGTGGTGCTGGGGATGGAACCAGGGCCTCATGTGCCTTAGGAAAGTATTTGATCACTGATCCATGTTCCCAGCATGTGTGCTCTGAACAACACTTTTCTTGAGGTTAATGAGCTGGAAGCCACTGTCACCATCCCCAACAGGAGGAGCCCCAGCACTGAGGGAGGGAGGCCCCTGAAAGGGTCCCTGGAGCACACCCACAACACAACCAGTCTTTTTCAGTTTTATGATTTGTGAACCTTTCAGTTTGGCAGGGCAATCTGAGGGAGCAGACAGCAGTCCTGTCACAGGGCTTCCCTGTTTAAGGGTCATTTAGGGTGGGCATCCTTATTTCTCAGGAACATTTTCTACGCAATGGAGCCACTAGGCAGTGAGGTGAAACAGAATGTGGCTGTGGGTTGCAAAAGTCAAGTCACTTTGAAGTGTCTCCAACTACTCCCCCCAAGTAATCGTTAGGCCATAAAATTCACCATTTTGAAGGATACAGTTCAATAGTTTCTAGTATATTCACAAAGCTGTGCAATTACCATGACTTCCAGGGAAGGGGAGTGTAGGCAGATGTGCCCGAGCAGGTGAGGGTACAGATGACAGGTGTAAATGATATTCAGGTCCGGTAGGTGTACCCAGGGCCTCTAGGTGACAGCCAGGACCCTTGCCCACCTCACCCACAGAAGCGGATGCAGCAGATCATGTCCCACTGCTTCCTGGCGGTCAAGTCCAAGCTTGAGTGCAAGCTGGGTTACTTCGACCTCATTGGCTGTGACTTCCTGATTGATGAGAACTTCAAGGTGCTGTCCTGGGTGGATGAGGTCTGGGCAACAGGGGCTATCTGTACTCCCTGACCATAGAAGCAGACCCACAGGTGGGTGCTGCTGTTAGACCCACCCTGACTGCACATAGTTTGGGGTGAGTGTGCCCATGAGGCTCCTCACTCCAGCTACACCTGGGGAAGATCTACACATCCTCCTTGGACGACCCTTGAGGCCTCGGCAAAGTAGGACAATGGGCTCACAGGAACACAGGGCTTTATGGGGACCAGGGCTCCAGCCGACTGGGGTGCTGACTGGGTGGGCGTGGGGTACCGACCAGTGTTCCCGCAGGTGTGGCTGCTAGAGATGAACTCCAACCCTGCCCTGCACACCAACTGTGAGGTCCTAAAGAAGGTGATCCCCGGGGTGGTCATGGAGACCCTAGGTGAGCCCGGGCTTTCCTGCCTGCCCCGTGCTGCCTGCGCCCCAACCCCATGAGGCCGGTTCTCCTCACCTCGGGTCTGCCCGCTTGCCTGAACCCCACACCGGCTTCGCACCCTCCTCTGAGGCCCACTCATTCTCCTCCTCCAGATTTAGCGCTGGAGACCTCCCAGAAGAGCCTGCGCGGCCAGAAGATGCTGCCCTTGCGCGCACAGCGCCGCTTCGCGCTCCTGCACAACGGCGAGGCGGACCCGCGCCCGCTCCTGCGCCCGCGTCTGGGGGCCACGGGGGCACGGCCCCGCCCACTAGCACCCCTTCCACATGCGTGCCCCCGCCCCCGGCCTCCAGGCCCCGCCCCCAACACAGGCCCCGCCCCTGGGGAACCGTGCGCCGAGCGGAGGGGCACTGGCCACCGGGGCTCCTAGCGGCTGTATCTCGCGGCACCATAAAAGACTACTTTGTGACAAGGTGTCCTCTTCAGAGCCTGGACACCCCAAGCTTCCCTCTGCCTCTCTGCGGATCTTAACAGGGTAGGGGAGTCTGGGCAGCCCCCAGGTCCCAGGCGCCCCGCCCCGTGTCCTCGCCCTCTCAACCCTCAGGACCCGCCTGCGAGGCCTCCTGAGGGCATGCATTGCCCTGGGAGCCTCTCTCGATTGCTCCTCAGGGCGCACCGGGCTAGCGCCACCCTGCCTGGCACATCAGACACGGCCTTTCCCCAGCCCAGGGTTCCTTTGCCGAGAACCTTGTGGGGGTGAGCGGTACAATCAGGACAGAACTGTCCCTGAAAGGCTGTGCTGAGCCCCTAGGCAGAAACGTCCCAGGGTCCCATCACCCTCATTACCCTCTGCTCTTGCCACCTTGAGACCTGGGCCTCTGTGTCACACAGGCCTCTGCCTCCTCTCTTAGTGTCCTGCTAGTGTCTAAGGCTCCCTGAGCGGCCCTGCACCCTCTTGCTCCTTGACTGTCCCCACCCTGGCTTTCAGCTGCCCACCCCAGCGTCTGCACTCTCCCGAAGCCAGGGCCAAGTGGAAAACAACAACTCTTGCCCTACCCACCCTCCCGCTAGCCCGGGACAGCAGACCTAATCCTGGGAGAAGCCGGCAGCCTTCATTCCCACTCTTTGTTCTTGGAAGAAGGCTGGCTTGAGATGTGGTGGATCCATTCCCAGCATGTGAGAACCTGGCACCAGGAGAGGGCGCCATCCACTATGGTGGCTAGTGGCCCGCGAAGGTCATGGATAGACAGAGAAGGGAGGTTCAGAGTCAGTGGCCCTTCCAGATGCCCGTGTTGCCTGCCCAGGAGGCTAGGAGGGATAAAGACCTGCACTGGGGCTGGGGCAGCATGCCTGCCCCTGGGATCAGAGTCACCCCGACAGTACCCAGGGCTGTTGCCCAGCCACATCACCCTCATTACTCTCTTGCCAACTTGAGACTTGGGCCTCTGTGCCACACTGGCCTCTACCCACTCTCTTAGTGCCCTGCCTGCCATCCCTGGTTCTCCCCACCTGCCACATGGGGCTGTGGCCACAGGTTCAGGGGCATTGAGATGTCAGAAGTGATCAAGCTTTCCCTGCTGCTTTGGGGTACGTGGAGTCTCCATGTGGAGATGTGATGAAAAGTGCCTGATGGCAGTGTCCTGCCCTGTGCTTAGGAGACCCCACCCAGCCCAGGACCCCCCCAAGGTCTGGACTGTGTCTTCTGTACCCACATCCTTGGCAGCACCTGGAGCTGATATGTCAATAAAGTTTCTGGAGATCCTCTGTGCTTATTTACCCCATCCTGATCCACATTTACCCCTCCCAGCTCATGTGTAGGCTCCAAGACACCTGGATGGCATGGAACCCAGGAAGGGGAGGATTGCAGGGCCTCTGGCAATTGGCAGGTGCGGGATGTTCTCCAACATTCACTCAAGCAACATGGGGGGCCAGGACCTGAGGAGCAGGCAGCAGCAGCAGGGCCAGGCTGGCCTCATGGGGTACTCAGGGTGAAAGTGTCTTCGCCCCCTCTCCTTGCCCTTTGTCCCCCTTCTCCTGTCTTCCTCCTCCCACCCTCTGCTTCTCCTCCACCTCTTTTAGGGCTGAATCCAGGGGTTGGTTGCCTGTTGGACAGGGGATTCAAGTGGTGTCCTCGCTAGCAGGACAGGGTCAGGCTGCCCCCAGTTTTGACTGGGGATCCCTGCCCCCACCCTCTGTCTTAGAGTCGACCAGCAGAATGTCACTGGGCCAACACTGGGCCTCCATTATCCAGGGGCTGGGGTCTGCTGAGACCCATGCCAAATAGCCACAGGGTTCTCCACATCCCCAACTCCTCTGTGCTAGAAAAGTGTCTCCAGAAAGGGGCAAAACATCCCCCCAGCTACTGTCTCTGGAGAGACCCCATCCCTCAAGCCCCTGGGAAGATGGGACAGGTAAGGATAGAGTCTGCCACCTGCCACACAGTTGCTGCCCACCACCTCAGGTCATGCTTGCCAGAGTAGCCCCTCAGGGATGAGGCCTTGCTCCGTGCTCAGAGGTCAGTGGGTGGAGGAAACAGAAGTGACAGCTGGTCACCTGCTCTGGGGAACTCATCCCAAGCTGAGGCCAAGACAGCCATCTGCCCTCAAGGGTCCTCTGCAGGTGTCCTGAGACAGGTGGTGTCCAGTTCTGTCTGAGAAAGGTTTCTTCTACCCCCACTGCAGGTCCCAAGTCAGACTGCATGAAGGGAGGGGTCCGTTCCAGCAGGAAGAGGGTGGATGCTTAGTGGGCAGCCAGCTGTGGCCGGAAGCACTTCTGGGAATTAGAGGTGGCCTTTAAGTCCTTATCTCAGACTGAACACAGAACTTGGGGGAGGGGATTGCGGTTTCCGGAAGAGCAGGAGAGCTGCTCCTGGGGGTTGGGGGGCGGGTTTCCCAGGGACTACCATGAGATCTGGAGTTGGTCTGGGCTGCCCAGATTCTCACCATTGTGTCTCCCACTACAATGCCACTTGGCAGTGCCCCTGGCAACCAGGATCTGCAAGAGAGGGCAAGCTGCTGCTCAGGAAGTGGTGGCTCTGACGGGTGGCCTCAGAGGCAGCATCTTCCTGCAGCAGCATCCGGGGCTGCTTGGGAACTTGGAAACTTCCCCATCACCCCAATTGCCCTTCAGCCCAGTTCTTGCCTTGGGGCCGTACCTAGCTGGCAAGCAAGGAGACTTATGGGTGGGGGCTGGGCAGTCCCAGGGCACAGAAGTGCCAGGCTGCCTGTGGAATTCCCCACCAGCTTTGGTCACTGGCCGCCCCATGGTGACATCCTGAGGAGTTTCCAGCACCGTCAGCAGGCCTCAGTGCTTTCTGGGGAAGCCCCTATGGTATCCTGTGGGGAACAAGCAACTCAAGCCCCTTCCGGCTGGCAGTGTAGGCCTAACTCCTCAGCCCCACAGTGAAGAGGGTCCCTGGCAACCCCAGAGCACTTGCCAAATGGGCATCCACTGTCTGGCACATGTCCAGGTGTCCGGTGGCCCTTGAGCTCCTCATGTTCTGAGTCCCAGTGTCCTCCACTCCCATTGGACTGAATGAGCCTCCTCCACTCTCCCAAATCTGGGCGGGGGTGGGGGCTGTGACTGCCACTCCTAGGACAGTGGAGCCCCCCACTACACCTGCCTACTGCAGGCTGGGCCACCACAGCCCGTGGAATCAAGAGTTAATGGGGGTTGAGGGCAGGTGAGACCAAAAGGCATTCATGGGGTGGGGGGGGGGTCCTAGGGCACCCTAGGGGACCGTGCTAGGCATGTGGAGGCTCAAGGGCACTGCTGAGACTGGTCTCCACTGGCCTGTGCTTCCACAACAGCTGTACCCAGATCTTACTACCGGATCTCTCCAGGAGTACCTGAGCTGGAAGAGACCTAGAGCTGAGCCCCAGAGAGGTGGACAGGAAGGAGTGGGCTTAGAGGCTACCTCACACCAGGGGGGTGGTAGGATCCTGGGGTAGACACAGGACAGGCCCTGGTTGATGGCAGAGTAAAGTAAGGTGACAGCCAGGGCACAGCCAGAAACCAGCCTCTATGGGTATGGAGAGGGGCAATGTGCACAGCTACCCAGCACAGGCAGACAGGTTGGGGGGGCGTTGCTAAGCTGAGAGACCAGGTAGCCAGCACAGACCCCACCAACAGGAAGCCTCTGGAGCCCCCTAGAACCTTTGTGTCATGGGCAGGGGACCTGGGCTTGGATGTACAAGGTCCCTTGCTCTCTGCTCTTTCCCCTGCCCCTCATACATGTCCACTTGGTCACTGCACAAGTGTTTATTGAGAACAAGGCTGTGGCCAGGTCTGGCCATAGACACTGTAGCCCAGAGGGCCACCCTATAGAGGGAGGAGGCAGCTGTGGCACTGTCCCTGCCACAGAGCTCCACCATGGCCACCCCTCTTCTATGTAGCTGATGTCTCAGCCCCATCGTCCACCCATTTCCACCATCCCAGGGAGCAGCACCAGGCTCCAGAGGGTCCAGATCAGGTGAAGCTGCTCCTGGGGATGACCAGGTCTCACACCCACTGTTCCCCTCGCCGGCCCTTCTCTTCCAGCTGCTCCCCCCGCTCCTCCTCAGGGAACTGGCAGCTGGAGGTGTCCTCAGTAGGTGGTGGTGGCACCTCCAGGAGAGGCTGGGTCTCTGCAGGGGGCTTTGGTCAGCAGGAGTGGGAGCGTCAGCTTCCCTCCCACTTCCCTAGGACATAACTGACCTTGGGGCCACATGGGCTGCTGCCTCAGTTTCCAGATGTGCAAGCCCAGCTGGACAGTAGTCAGGACAAGGATGCAGGAGGCCACAGCAAGGAGGATGGTGGTCAGCTGGCTGTGGAGCTCCATAGGCAGTGGCCCTGGGAGGCACACTGCGTTGTGAGTCTTGTTTCCAGGGAACATAGTGAGAAACCCAAACTGGCCACAGCTGGGACACAAAGATAGAAGGTGTCATCCTTGCCCCTTGGAGCAGCCCCACTGGGAGGGACAGGAGAGGCTCCCTCATATAGGACTGGGCTGCCTGGCTGTGCCCACTTGGGACTCACTCTGCCCAAGGTTTGCAGCGGCCCTGACGGTCCTGAGAGAAGGTCCCTGCAGCACAGCTGACACACGTGAAGCCATATTTGAGCTTCCCTGAAAGCAGACAGACAGACAGGCCTCTGGGTTGATGGGATGAGTACAGAGGGGTCTGACCCCACAAGTCATCATCCAGCAGAGGTCTCTGATGCCTGCAGAACTGGCATCTGGGACAGTCAGCATCCATGAATGGCCTTCCAGGGCTGGCTTATCCACCTATTCCTGTGTCAATGGACAGCGGAAATGGCAGGTCCTAGACTGCAGAGTGGGGGGTCTGAGAGCAGCAAGCCCTGCCCTCCCCCATTTTCACAGCAGGGAAAACCCAGATTAAGAGGCTGAAGGCTCCCACACAGCTGAACAACCACAGGCACCTGAGGGATGCTGAGGGTGCTCGTGCCCTGTCTGGAGGACACCTGGCTCCCGGCCACTGGTCAAACCCCTGGTCTGCCCTCACCTTCAGGCTGCACCTCCGTGCCTGGTGGGCAAGGGTGGTATTTGCAGGTCCCACACTCAGGGTCAGCGCAATGATACTCCGGCTGGATACACTCACAATCCCTTGTAGTGTGGGCCTTGCCTGGGTGAGGACAGATCAGGTGTTCAGCAGCTGTGTGAGCCCCGTCCTCTCCAGGACCTCTTCTGGCCTTGGTCCAGCTCCTCTGCACACCTGGCCTGGCCATCCCTTCTCTGAGCTGCTCCCAGAGTACATACAATGTCACACGTACCTGCTGGACAGAGCCATCACCGGAGGCTTCCTGGTGACCCACAAGCCCTTTGACTCCTGCACCAGCCCCCTCCCAGGCCCAGGGACACCTCAGAGGTTCTGCACAGCTAGTGCCACTCTCCCCACAGTCAAGTGGCAGACAGGGCAGTTTCCTGTGATCTTCCTCCCCAGACGACCTTCATCCGAGGCTGCAGGTCAGAGACAGTGAGCAGGGCAGAAGAGGGTGCTGGGGCCCCAAGCTGAGCAGGGAGTGGCTCTCTCTTGTTGAGGCCCTGCCCTGCTCCCTCCGGGCCTTCAGGCCACTGGCCTCCCTCTGGGATCTCACTTTGCCCACCAGCCATCCACCCTCCTGGACTGCCATAAGCCCATCCATCCCTGACTCCATGCACCAGCCTCACCCAGAGCATGCAGGCTGCAGCACCTTGAGTTGATCCCTGTCCCGTTCAGGAAGCGGCCTGGGCCACAGGGGCCCTCGGTAAGACAGCAACCAAGGCTGAGCACGCTGAGCAGCACGAGCCCATACAGGGCTGCCCGCAGCCCCATGGCACTTAGGCCCAGTGCCCCTGGAGGTTTAGTGTCTGACCGCTTGGCTCCGCCCAGACCCGCCTCCTAGCCACCTCCGGCCCTCTGTACACACACATACACACCCACCAATGTGGCTTCCTGGGGGCAACCCACAGGTGTTCCTTGGGGCTTTTAAGGACTTCTGCATCAAGGGAGGGAGTGGTGGGATAAATCCATTCACCCCTCAGTCTCCAGACTCTAGCCCTTCTCTTCACCCACTCCTGAGAAGCCTGGGAAGCTCTTTGGCAAATGAAACCCTTCCAGCCCTCAGTGATGCAAAGGCAAAAGCCGCCCTTACACTCACCCTCCAGGCCTCAGCATCCAGCATCCAGTGGCCATCTCTGCCGTGCCCAGCCCCTCCTCCCATCCCACCTTCCCCCTCTCTGGGTGCCCACTGGAATTGTCCTGCTGGCTTGGGGCGCCCTGGACCCCTTCTGGGAGCTCATTAGGAGGGCTGGACTGACCCTGGATGGCTGCTCCCCTTAGGGGAGGGGACTTGAGATTTTTAGAGAAAGAGGTGGGGCAGAGAAAGCCAAGGGGTGAAAAGAGGTGTCTGAGCAACCAGGGCCAGGGCCAAGCTGTCCGGCTTCTCTGTGCCAGTCCTGTGCCTGGGGCTGTAGCTGACAGGATGCCCCTCACCCTGCATGACATCAGGCCGCGACTCTAAAGGACCCTCACAGTACAGTGGAGACCACTCAGCACCCAGGTGTTTCTGACTTGTGACAGGTCCTGACACAGGACATGCGTTGAAGACCTGGTCCCGCCTGTGCCCTGTGGTTTTGCTGGCCTGGTTGATGCTTCCTACATAGGTCTGCCAGGCACCCATCCTGACAGGTGCTCTGACTCCCAGACGTTTGAGGCCCCCCAAGGCCAAAGGCAGCTCTAGGGCCCTGGGACTTCAGAGTGGGGGTCACAGCACCTTCCTTGTCCCTGAAAGCTGCTTGCACTTACTGTAGTTCATATGTCTAATCTGCTGGTGGTGGACATCTGGGTCCCTACCTCAAGACTGCTATGGACACTTGCTCATGCCACAGGACTCAAGGGACAAAGTTTGGTTCAAGCAGACAAACATAGTGTTGTATGACTACAATCCTAGCACTTAAGAGGCTGAAGCAGGATCACCATGAGTTTGAGGCCAGCCTGGGCTATACAGTAAGTTCAAGACCAGCCTAAACTACACAGTGAGACCCTGACTCAAAACACAAGACAAAAAACACAAGAGTTGGGCCTCAAGCGGAAGTCTTCTGTTTTCCAAAGTGCTTGATTCTTGGAATGCTCCCACCCTCAAGGACATGGGGACAGTGGCCATCACTACCAGAGACTCGGGGGGGGGGGGCGTCTTGGGCTGCCCCTTAACAGGTATAGAGGGGTAGGGCTGGGGACTAAAGAGAAAGAAGCGTGCTGGGTTCTCTCCAACAGTTGCAGAGGCCAGGAGGGGCCCCTGGTAAGTAGAGTACTCAGGTCCCTCCTTGTTCTGGTCAGCTCCCCGAGAGGCCCAGGCTTTAGGGTCTCCTGCAGCGGAGGTTCTGGACTCTGAAGTGGTGCCAGGTTTGGGCCCCCAGCATTTTTTCATTGGTGTTGTCAGGGTCCTCGCACCCTGTCCTCACTCTGAGTGGACTCCACCCCGACCTGATCTGAGACCCTGCCCCAGCCAAGGAGGGTGAGGTCAACTGCAGACTCAAGGTTGCCAGCATGTTTACTGGGGCGCCATCCAGGCAGGTAGTATGCACAACATACGTAGAAGTACCCAGAGCCAGCCCAGCACCTAGAACGGCGCAGAGGGCGCAGGCCAGCAGCCTGCACCTGGGACACCCCACCCACAAAGCCCTTCGCGCTGCTCAGATCTTGGCCAGGGTAGAATGTGCATCAGCCTGCTCTTCTTGGATGGGCTTCCGGAAGCTTTTTCCCCCTGGTGAGGAGGACAGAGTGAGAAGTTGTGGGGGTTGGTTACCCTCTAGGAGACAGGACAGGCCCATGGCTGCTGCTCACCACGGGGTTTGGGGGTACCAGGAGGCATCCAGGTCCTTCGGTATAGCAACAAAGCCAGCAGTACGGCCATCGGGACCAGCAGGCTCAGACCCAGGCCCAGGCCCAGGATGGCAGCCAGCATCGGGCCTGCAAGGAGGGGTCAGCTGAGTAGTCCAGGAGGCCAGCAGGCAGCTTGTAGCCTTCTGTCCTCTCCCTCCTCCCCTCCTGGGCAGGCCCTCACCCCTGGGAGCCTCCGAGGGTGGCATGAAGGGTCCCTGAGAGGTCCTGGCCCAGGCTGTGGTGGGCCTGGATGTGGTGGCCTGGGCCATGGTAGGCCGGCTCATGGTGGGGCTGGCCTTGGTGGGCCTAGCAATGGGACCCTGGGTCTTCCAGAGCAGTGTGGCCAAGGGACTTCTGTCCTCACAGATGGCGTCTGAACTGCTGGTGCCTTGCTTCAGGATCTGTTTCTTAGCTGAGGCACAGCTGGGGGCAGGGAGAGGTGATCAGGCTGAGATAGTAATAGAGTCCATACTGGTCACCACAGGGAGCCTCAGACTCTGGCCAGAGGCAGCCAAGGACCCCTGTCCAGGCCTCAGCCTCCCTTTTATGGCTCACCACATCACCCCAGCCCATGCTGCTCAGCTGGGCCTCAGTATCCCCAAACCACCAGGGACTTCTGCCCATCTACTGGGGAGGCTAAAGAAGATAAGTGGCCTGCAGTGGGTGACAGAGCCTGGCACACTCCCAGGGTAAGGGCTGAGGTCTCACACTCACACTGCTGGCCCTGCTGGGTGCCATACACACACACACACACACACACACACACACACACACACAGAGTACCACAGGGACTTCTGCAAGGTCAGTGTTGGAGAACAGACCCCAGGAACCCCTGACCACCAGCTCTCTGGTCCCAGACCGGGCCCACCGCATGACCAGGCCCCATACCCAGCTCCTGACCTCTCCCAGGTCCCTGGGTCCTCCCTCTCTCCATTTATACTCACTCGGTCCAGGGCTTGCAGGCCTGATTGCTGCCCAAGGAGAAATAGCCAGGAGGGCAGGGCTTGCAGTCTGCAGCAGACACCAAACTCTCAGCTGCCTGATGGTGCCAGGGGCCTGGACACTGCAGCTACTGAGGTGGGGCTCACAGGGCTGGGTGCTCACCCCATGGGGAGTGGAAGACAGAGAGAGTGACCCCTCCCTGCCCACACTTGGGCATTGGGCCTAGCTAGTGAGCCAACAAGGGCCCAGTCCTGGCCCAGCCTGCTGGGACCAGTGGCATTGTGTGAAGTGGGGACGTGGCCCATTTATATGAAAAACCAGGGTCCATGGACACTTACAGCCCTGCAAACACAGGCTGCCCCACCAGGGCCACCCTGACGCTCACCAACTCCATGCTTGAAGCCATCCAAAGGCTGAGTGCCAGGCCTGCAGTGGCAGACAGTATCCTGCGTCGCTGTGCAGTTCTGCTTGATTTCACTTCCACTTCCTGGGGGATTAGGTGGGGCTTGGACATGGCCCAGGAACTAGTTTGCCTCCCACCAAAGGTGCAGCCTCACCCAGGACCCCCTGCCACCCCTGAGGGAGGCCCTGGCTCCCCACCCTTCTCTTGAAATACCCTTTCCTGTCCTCTGCCTCTCCTGATCACATGACCCCAGGGATAGCCCTAGCTTCTACCAGTCAGCTGCCCATAGCAGCTGACTCAGGACCCCCAAGAGCCCTACTCTGCCCCATCCAGCTCAAGACAGACCATGTGGTGAACACACAGCCCACCAGGCCTCCACATGGCCCAGGAAGAGTATTGCTTGGGAGAGCCCTCATTGCCCCGGGGACCCAAGAGAGGGCAGCCTGAGGAAGTCTGGTTTTATTTCTGTAGGCTCCTGGAAGGTAGATGCCCATTGTGCCCATGCCCTTGCTAGATGAAGGGGCAGGATGCAGGGTGGGGTGGGGGCTCACTCCGGTTGCAGTGCGTGCATGGCTTGCAGGCCTCGTAGTTGACACCCTCATTGTAGAAACCAGGCTCACATGGGAGGCACACACTGTCCACAGTGCCTTTGCAGCGGCTCACCATCCTGTTACCTATTACAGCCGAGTCAGGCATACTTGGCCCAGGCTGGGCCTGCAGAGGCCCGGCTGCTGGCCCCACCTCTGGCCCCGCCCCTCCTGGCAGGCCCAAGTCCACTCACCCCAGGACGCTGAACCTGTTTCACCACCATGTCCCCAGCCTGAGGCCAGGCTACTCACCTGGCTGGCAGTCATGACAGCACATGTAGCCGTTATAATAAGTGTCCCCGACACAGGTGTGCCCAGCCTTGGCGCCAAGCATCAGCCCCAGAAGCAAAAGGGCACAGGCCCCCACGCACATCCTCAGCCACGTTCACAGGAGTCTGGGTTTTTCCTTGGAGGATGTGGCTATAAGGGCTCTGGGGGAAGGGCGGGGAGGGGCGGGAGGCCAGTGCATGAGCATGCTCAGGCTGTGCTGGTGTGCGAACGTGTGAGTCTGCTCCCTCCCCCACACGCACCACACTGGGACATGTATACGTGTGTCCCCTCACTCCTAGAAACTCTGGTCCCCGGCCATCCAGGGAACAGGACCATGCTGAGACAACTGCTAAAACAGTTCAGTTTAGGAAACTCCTGCAGGACAGAAAGATGGGCACCCCTGGGCATTCCTGTCGACAACTTAGCAAGGATGGGGTGCACAGGAATCTGGAGATAAGTACTCATGCACACACATTGCACTTTCTTATATGCAGACCCCTAATACTACACTGCCCTGAAGGATCCCCAAGCTGGAGGAGGCTGCAGGGTCCTCTATGTCCCTCTGTGTCTATTAAATTGTGCCCTTCATCTATCCCTAAGTTAATGCTGCCAGTTGGCGGGGGACCCCAGGCCTCCTCCCAGGACATGCAGCAGGGAGAGGTTGGAAATACCCCACCCCCAGGGTACAGGTGAGAGCAGAGGTCCTGGCCCACCTAGGGGAAATTCCCAAATGAACCATGCTGACGGAGGGCAGAGGGCCCACTCTATAGGTATCCTCTCCAAGCCCCGGATGGAGAGGCAGTGCACTCCAGTCCCACCCCATGGGCTCTCAAAGAAGGGGCATCTGGTTTTCATTCCCCAACTCCCACACGAGAGAAGCCTTCTTTCGAAGAGTCCTTCTGTGGCTTGGGGAGTCCTTCTGCGCCTTCCTTCCCTGGCTGCCACTCTGGTCCCTGCAGCCTGTGACACTGCATACTGAGTGGCCAACATCTGCCCACAGCTGACCTGTGGTACATCCCAATCCACCCTCGAAGTGTCTGTATGGGGCACTGGCGCTCCTGCAAGACCCTACAGTGTCTACCCAGGGTCTCCAGATCACAGGGAAGACAGAGCAGTGGGAAGCAGGGAAGGGCCCCATCCTTCCCTTCAGCATAGTTGGGGCACAGAAAGCTCACACAGCCCCACAAACTGCTGCCCTTCAGGCACCAACCAGAACAGTGGTAAATAGCCTCTGAAGGACCAGACAAGCTGCACACTGGGCTTGCACCCCTGGATCCACATTTCCCTGGGGTAAGATTCTGGATGCCAGGACACCCAAGGATTGTGAACCTCTTGGTACAAGGCCACAACCAAACAGAGGGGCAGGTGGCAACGGCTGTGGGGCAGCCTACACCCAAGGTGTAAGCACTGCCTTCTTGCCACCGTGCCCAGCCTGGCCTTGAAGTCATTTGTCTGGAAACCAGCCCAGGTGCCAGCACAGCTCCAGAGCCAGCAGCTCCCTTCGTGCTGCATGGCAAGACCCATGGGCAGAACAGGACAACACTGAAGCTAAGGACAGAACTGGAAGGGTACGGGGCCACCACCCATCAGGTGATGGGTGCCTGACGTACAGTGGCAGTGTCCTGTATGGGTGCACAATTCTGGGCCAGCCCTCCACTAGACAGTGGCCCAGCCTGTGCAAACCCCAAATCCAACTCTGCCAGAGCTGGCAGGAGCTCCCCACCCTGTGTAGCCCCCTTCTATCTCCCACAGGCCTCAGGTGGGCAGCCACAACCATCACACCCCAGCCTCACTTCTGTCTCCAGGAGAATCAAAACATTCAGCAAAAGCCAGAAACCCCTCTGTCACCAAATCGCCCACCTCAAAGGCTTCAAGTGGAAGCCACCTGGCCGCAAATTTTTTTTTTTCACCAAAAGAATACAGCAGTGAGAAAAAGGCAACTGTATTTTAAAGTAAACTAATTGATTCCCGTGACAAATCTGAGACTGCAAGCTGAGGAAGACCCCACCCCACACACCCTGGCCCCAGCCCAGGAAGGAGGAGGAGTCTTCCGCACTGCCTGGCTACTCATTTCCAGCAAAGTACGTCTGCTTTCATCTTAATCTTTCAGTTTTCAAGGAAATGGCAGGAGCTGTGTGATTTCCCACGGTGGTGGCCCGAGAGTTCCGCACCCCGACGTGGTCAGCGCCTTTAGCAGGGCTCAGCAGTTCTCAGAAGCAGAAGCAGCAGTCAAGGCACGGGAGGACAGACAATGCCAGATGACAGAGCAGGAGGTGGCCCATGGGGACAGGTACCGCAGAGGAACAGAGCCTGCTAAGCACAACTTTAATAACCCCAGGCCACAGCATGGCCCAGCTGAACCCAAGTCCTAGTCAGGGGCAGCAGCGAAAGGGAGGTACTGGGATGGCCCTGGACAAGAGGACAGGCGCTGGTCCCCGCTGCACTGGCCTGTGGCTCCCTGGGGGTGAGGGACTACAGGCCACAGAACTCAGAACTCCTCATGCACGTTGCGGGCATAGTCCATCAACTTGCTGCCTGTAAAGAACTCGCTGTACTTGAGGATCTCTTCGGGCTCCAGGTGGTGGTTTTGATTCTCGTCAGCAATGGCAATCATCTGCTTGGCTTCGTTGAGGGCATTGTATTCATTCATGGGGTCCATGTAGTTCTGCAGTGCAGCCAGGCACAATCAACAGCCCCTTCCAAGCACGCTATAACCACACAGCCCCAATGGGATCCAGCCCCGGCTTCCCTGTCATTGCGGGACAGAGTCGCAAAATACTACCGCCAACATCACAACAGGGTGAAAGACAGCACTTTCTGCTTCTAGGGAGAGGTGACCTGGCTCTGCACAGTGACTACCCACAGAAGCAGGTCCTGGTTTAAAATGCTACCCTTGGCCCGACTGTGGACATGTTCTGGAATGTTCCAGAAGGATAAGCAGGCTGCCTGCCTGAGCCTCCAAGAAGCTCTGAGCAGAGAGTGACTCAGCCAGTGGGCAGGGAAGGCTTAGCTGTCTGCTGAGACCCTAGTGCTGCTGAGACCTTCAACCCCTGCTGTATCTAACCTGGCTAGAGCCAGAGCATACTGCTATAGACCCAAATGACTCACCCAACAGCAGCAAAAACAAGCCCAAGCAGCACCCACACAGGAGCTCAGTGGAAACAGTTAGGAGGAAGGGGTGGGGGTTCCAACCCACATGGCAGAAGGTGGCCCTGCTCCAAGGTCCTCAGAGCTGCAGCCAGCCTCATGGTCACTCAAGAATTGGGGCTGATATGGTAAGCGTGAGTTACTGGGTTCAATTCCCAACCACTCCCCCGAAAAAGAGAAGAACTGGGGCTGACCAGAACTCCAACACGAGCCTGGGTGCAGCTCAGGGGCAGATGGCTTCCATGGTACATGTGGGCCTTGAGTTCCATCCCCAGCACCAAAAAACAAAAAGGAAAAACACCTCCTATGGGCAGTGCTGTTTTCCAGCCCAGTGGCCAGGCATCAGGGCAAGGGCTGGCTGGGCTCAGCACAAACACCAGCCCTCACACCCCAGGTCCCCTGGGGCCACACAGCAGAGAGGCTGTCAAGCAAGCATCCAAGCCCCTGGCAGCCCCTCCACAGCCGCCCAGGGCCAGTTCCCTGTCCTCAGCACAGGCATCCAGCTGAAGGCACCAGGCTGGGCCATCCTCGGAACACAAGCAGGCCCTGTTACAGCTGTGTCTAGATGTCCCATGTCTAGATGTCCCAAAGCCTCATGTGGCCCTCGGTAGGGCTTTTCGGAGGTGGTTGGACCCGAGTGTGTGATGCTGGGACTAAGAGTGTGTGATCACTAAGTCAATCCACTGACTGGTCTTGAGGACACATACCATGGGTGTGAACGGCACCTGCGCCTCGAGGGATGCAGCCTGGACAGAACAGCTACTGCTTCCTCATGGCTACTTCACCATGTTGTTGCCTCCTTGCCTCCTGCCCACCATGAACTGCTTCTCTTCTGGGATGCCTCTCTCCCATGCTACCCTGCCTTGGAACCAGCCAACTATGAACTGAAGCCTCTATACATGGTAACCTACAATAAACCTGACCTCCTTCACCTGTGGGCGCTGGGTATTTTGTCTCAGCAACAGGCCCTCACTCACCTCCAGCTCCTCCATGGTCACAATTCCATCATGGTTGGAGTCAATCAGCTCTTCAAACTCTTTCTTCCTGTCTCTGACCCAGCTGTCATCCATGTCCTGGCCCTGCTGGTTCTCAACTGTGCCCACCGGCAGGGAGATAAACTCGGGTAGAGAAAGCTGCTTGTCGCCGTCCTGGTCTATGGACACGGGAGTGGGAAGAGGGGGCGAGAGGACACACAACTTGCAAGGGCTTCACAGGAGACATCTGTGGGGCAGCTACCACATCTGACTTGTTAGATTCTGGCCTAATGCCCACAGCTATCTCTTAAGGGCTTGCCTGGAGATCGGGACAGCCTGGCCCACCCTCTCTAGCCTGGAACCTGTGGGTGACAGCCTGGCAAGGGCACTGCCTTACCCAAGTCTCGGACGATCTCTTTGACCATGAACTTGAGCATGCCCCGACTGTGCTCAGGGTGAAGGAAAGACAGGAACTCGTCCTCGGTCAGCAGCAGGTCCGCAGGGGGACTGTCCGCCTGATACCAGCGGTCTTTGAGGTTTTCAAGGACTTCCTGTGCTGAGAGAGGCATGCCTGTGGGCACCCCAGCATGCAGGCTCCAGCACCCAAATGTAGGAGGTTCCATAGTGCTGAGCCCACATGTGGGAAAGCCTACCAAAGAGCTGGCCTCAGAAGGGCACACATAGCCCCTTGACACAGCTCTGACCCTCGATACCACTGCTCTCTCAGACATGACTCAGAACTCCAAGACACAGCCCAGACCCCTGGGTGTGGTCAAGAATCCCCCAGCATGCCCCAGAACCCTGACATAGCCCAGGACCCTTTAGAGAGCTAAGAACCCTTCCAATGCAGCTCAGAACCCCGCCTCTCTGGGTACACCCCTGGCTGCTTGTTCTTGGCAGAAATGGAAACTGGGCAAGGCTGAGTCACCCTTGGCAATGTCTGTAGGAACAAAGGTGTCTGTTTTGTTCCTCTACCTCTTCCACGTGCAGTGCTTCACGGAGGACAAAGCAGAAAAAACCCCATTTCTAGAAATGACTGACACTGCACACAGAGCTCCCCTGGGCGGAAACAACATCTCCACCAACCTGGGACCCACAGTGACCAGTGACCAAGTCCTGGCATCCAGGCCTCTGAGAAGCAGCTAGCTTAGCTCCAGACCCGTCACCCTCTGGTCACAACAGACACCAAATGACCACCGTGTGTCAGCACTGACCAGCAGCCTAGCCTGTGACAACCTAAAGGAAGTGAGTACTCAGCGTGGTGGCCCATATCTGTCGGCTCTGCAACTCAAGAGGCTGACACAGGTGGACAGTTGAAGCTCAGGAGTTCAAGGCTAACCTAGGTATGTGGCAAGACCTCACCTGAAGAAAACAAGACTAATACAGAAAACACCAAGGAAAATAGTGACCACAGGACGTCTTGGTGCTCCTGAGAAAGGGTTCTGGTTCCGTTCTGCTCAAGTAAGCTGCACACCAAAGACCAAAGACACAGAGCACAGTGCCAAACACACTCACCCTGTGTGGCCAGGCCCATGGGACAACAATGTGAGGACAGACCACAAATGACTAAGCAGATGAGAGCACCACAGGTCCTGCCCCTGCCCCAAGCTGCACCAGACAGAGCTGGGGAAGGATTGCAGGTTCCACTGGTGTGGGAGGTGGAAGCAGCAACAACTGACAGCTGAGGTCTTAACTGGGAGGGCCTCCTCCCACCAGTCTGACGTGCCAGTCTGACGTGAGGGTTTCCTGAGTGAGGTGGGGTCCCTCAGAGGGCCCCAAGGCTCTGCCTGCCCCTGCCACTATCACTGCTCTTTCCGTGTCTCTGCTAGGCCTCCTCTCCCTTTACCCCATCTCAGGGCTCTGCTCAGGCTGCACTCTCTCCATTGAATCTCCCCATGGTGGCACTGAGTCCCTGCTCCCTCCAAAGCAAAGCCTCAGGCCTTGAGCCTCCAGGCAGGGCAAAGCCCTGTCCTTTCCATACATCCTTGGAGTCCTCCTTAGGGCCTAACCAAGTAATGACACACTCAGTCAGTCATAAAGGAGCTCTACCAGGTGAGTGAGACACCAAGAGGTGCAAGATGGACACTGCTCTGCCAAACCCAGGCAGCGCTCAGGCCAGAGTGTCATCAGTGCTGGCTGCCTATCTTTCAACAGTTGACATCACCCCCGCTGGGTCACACAGCCCCACAATGGTATGACCCACACATCCTCGCACCACCCGACAGGCTCAACCCGCCTAGCTGGAGTCCCTCCACCACTCTGGTGACGTGTCTGCCCGCACGGCGACCCTGGAACTCACTCTCTTCATCCACCTTCAGCTCCTCGTGGTTCCTGATCGCATCAGCAACCTCTTTCTCATTGTGGCCTTTGCTTGCCAAAAACTTCACTTTATATTCGTCCCAGGACACATGGCCTAAAAGGGCAGATGGTAACTGTCAGCACATTTAAAATTCCTGAGCCATGGGCAGCCATAAGATACAGGTGACCTTCCCTGAGTGTCCTGCCAGGGCAGGGGTCTCAGGGTGGAGAGACCATAGCCCAACTCCCAGTCCTTCCCAGTGCCCAGCACCCACTTTCCAACCTGCAGAGCTACCAGGGGCCTCCATCCCTCAGGGCCAACAGAGATGCAGGCTGGCTGCACGTGGTGGGAACAGCACCAGGAAGGAGCTCTAAACTAGCAACAAGCTATGCAGTTTTTAGTTAAAACAACTGGGTCCTCACATCCTATACATGTTACCCTGCATGAAGAACTGACACTGGTGGAGATGGGCACCCCAGCCTATGCTTAGGGCCGCCGCTCCCCAGTTTCCTGCACTCGCTGTCCTCCAGCCCAGTTTCCTGTCCAGTAGGCCTCTCCCACTAAGGCCAGGCACACTGCTGCCACTGTAAAGCCCCCTGTGCCACTCGGTGGCACAGGCCCTGTACCATCGCCATCAGGGTCCACAGCCCGGAAGTGTATCTTGTTCTCCTTCACAGCCTCCTGGAAGTGTTCAGCTGTCTTCTCCATGATCCAGCGCTGCATCTCCTTAGCACTGATCCTCCTATCTGTGTTCACATCCACTCTAGATGGGCAGATGGCAGCAGAGGTCAGACAAGGCCCCCAGGACCCATGACAGAAAGATGGGTATGCCGGCCCCTGGGCCAACACAGGTAGCTGCAACCCAGCCACAAATAGTGATACTCTTCACCTGGCAGGGACACACAAATCCAAGAGGCCTGGGGAACTTGCTGGGGGACTTGGAGGACAGCAGGGGCTTCAGGTACAGTGAGGAGATGGGTAGTTCAGTCTGCAGCTACCCCTCAAAGCACAACAGGCAGAATCATCACCGAACCTCCCCCTCCAACCATGGATTCCAAACATGTTCTCAACATCCTGTATCACTTGATCACTCCTTATACACAGTTTCAGGGTTCAGGGCAAAGGCCCTGCAGAGCCCTAACACTGTGTCTAAGAAGGGAGGAGACCCAGGAGTCAGACAACAGAAATCCACAACACACAGACCAGGCAGTCAGAAGAGCCCCAGGAGCTACCATGCCTGCAGAGCCTGTCTACAGGCAGTCCCTGGCCACTGGTTCTGCAAGCTGCTGTGACCTCTCTCGTGACAGACCACAAGTGGCCATGGCAGACACTGGGCTACAAGGCACTGGGCACTGCCCAGCTCTGGTTCTCCAGGCCCCTGCTCACCCAGGGTGTCGTCAAGACTCCAGTGCCAGCTCGACCTTCTGCTCAGGCTGCACCCAGTCAGAGCATATCCGTGCTCCCTCACGGGAAGAAACATAACCCAAGCACAGCACCTACTTGGAGAAGATGACCATCAGCTTCCTCCGGCTCCTACGTGGCTCTGCATCCTCATCAAAGCCACCCACGTCTTTCCCCAGGAAGACCTCCTGGTGGAAATCCTTGTTGAGGTGTCCATCCATCTCCAGCTTCACCCCATTCAGGTGATCTGGGGGCAGGAGCTCCTTTTCCTCCCTGTTGGCTGCTCTCTCTCGAGTGGATGAGTGATTGGCCGGCCGTGCAGATACCTCCATCAAAAGGATGAAGCCCAGAAGCCAGAAGCAGTGCACAGCCAGGCCACAGAGAGGGGCCTGCCTGGAAGCCATCGCCATGAGGCAAGGCTGTAGAGTGGTGCACAAGGTGTAGGCCAGGAGTGGAGCCAGGAGCAGCAGAGTTCTGAGGGAGATCACAGATCAAATCCAAGCCTTGGCACTGCCAAGGGCTCTGAGGGCCAGCACAGCCACGGGCTGACTGCTTGGAAAGCTGAAGATAAATTCAGATCCCAGCAAGCAGTTAGGTGCCTAGAATAAAAGCGAAGACTCATCACTTAGTACAAACACTTCAGGAAATGTGCTTATTTTATAACCTGAGACAAAAGGCTTTACTTATAGGATAAGACCACACACTTCTTTCCTCTAGTACAGGGATGGAACCCAGGGCCTTCACACTGAATTACACCTCCAACTCCCTTTTTAAGTTTTTTGCTTTGACACAGGGTCTCATTAAATCGTTAAGTTTCCTGACTAGGCTTAAGGTTTCAATCCTCCTGCCTCAGTCTCTCAGGGTGCTGGGGTTACAAGTGTGCACCATCATGGCTGGCTCATTTTTCTGTAACACTGGGTGCCAGGAGAATCAAAACTTTGAACATAACATGAGCAACTCAGCAATTTAGTAGACCTTATCACAAAAAACGGGATGAGGCTGGGAATTTAGCTCAGTGCAAAGGCCAGCAGTTCAATGTACAGGAAACACAAAACAAATAAATAAAACACTGGGTTTCCAGCTCTGTCTCCTCAGAGCTGACACCACCTCTAGGGACTGACAGGGCTCCAGACAGTGCAGCCTACACTGCAGTCACTGTGCGACTCTTCCTCCCTTGTCACGGAACTTACCATAAGACTAGTTACTCACTCTCCAGGGCCCAACCTGAGCACTGTGAGGGCTGTGACCTTGGGTGTCACCTAGCCTTACCAATTCTAGTTTCACACTAAGAATCTGGATACTTCCTGGCCTCTACCCCAAGACCTTGAAAGGATTGGGCACTGTCCCACATATACATGTACCCACACATGTCCTTACTCATATTTCCAGAGACATACCAGGAACCTCAAGTACTTAGCAAGTCTGTCCTGGCACAGAGGGACTCCTGCTTTGTCCGTAGTCTGTCCAAGTGGCAAGCACACCTACCAGTCCTCCCCCAGGAATAGGTGGTGCCCAGCGTGTGTGCAGCTGTTTCCTGTCCTACAACTTGCAGATCTGGCCAGGAAAGGATCCTATCTCACTCAGCTTCTGTACCCTTGTATCACTGCACACAAAAGACACTCAACAAATGCTGCCTCTGGGTGTGTCAAACAGGACAAAGATGATGTCTGGGACTCCCTTATGATGGCCCGGGGAAGAACTGTAGCCTTCCAGGAGCCAGAAGAGCCTGAGGTCCTCCAAGGAAGGGAACTCCAAAGTATGTACTGTTGAATGTTTACAGAGCTGCTGAGGGCTGTCTCTTCTTGCCACAGACGTGACTCTACTCCTCTGTCCCAGCTCTCCTGGCCAGGGAAGCAATGAGGAAGAACCAAGACAACCTCCTTCTGGTGTTAACTCACTAACCACAGCCATAAAATACATGCTAGATGCAACAGACTGTACTTTGTTCCCCCCCAGCCCTCGCACACCCGCTCCCCTAGTTCTGAGGATTGTACCCAAGGAGCACTGTGCTACATCTCAAGACATTTTTTAAAATTCTGAGACAGTGTTTTCACTAAGTTCCCCAGCCTGGACTCAAACGTCCAATTCTCCTGCCTCAGCATTCTAGCTGGATTTATAAGCATGCTTCACTTTATCTGCCTTGCACTTTATTCCTTGTAAGAGCCTCAGTCCTGCTTATCTTGATGAATGACACGGCATAGCTCATTACAACCTGTTATATGTAAAGTGTAACCCTAAATAATAAATGTCAGGCATGAGGAGTGAAACCCCACCCATCCTCTCACAGCAGTCATCTACCTTATGGTTACAGTAACAGCAAGACTCAAATAGCGGATAGCTGCTCAGGGACAGTGTCCTATCCCACAAGATAGGATTTCAAGGAGCAGGTGTGGCCAGTTTCTAACAAGGAGTCAATGAACCCTCAACAAACAAGCTGGAAACACCTTCAGTGGGGCCACATCGTTATCTCTCCACTGTATCTGCAGTCAATTGCATTCTAAAAATATTAATATTTACCTAGACTCTAATATATACCTAGAGCACATTTAGTTACTTTATTAAAGTCTGTCACAACCGTTCTGTTTTATTATTCACTATTTTTGCTGATCTCTTCCTCGCCCTAATTTATAAGCTAAGCTTTGCCACTGTTATGTACGGGGAAAACACAGCCCAAGTGGGGCTCCCGACAACCTAAGGCTCCGGGCCCCCTAGGGATAGGGGGGCTTCTGTATTTCACCATCCGTGAGCTCACTTCTGGAGAAAACGACTGTTTCAGAGCTCTGACGGTTTAGAGACAGCACTAAATTAAGCGCCGGCCAGACCCACCGCGGAGGCCAAGGCAGTCCACGATTACCAGTGATCATGGCGCACATTTTACCGACGGTGAAACCCAAGCAAAGACGCTGAGCCCCGGCCACTTCCTGGTTGGGACTCAGCCCCCACCCCTCCAGCCTCAGTTCCTGCGGCACCATGGGTTCTGGCAGGAAGACACCGGGTGAGGAAGGAGGCCAGATCCGGGGACCCGGCCCGACCCAGGTAGGCAGTCATCTCGGCCTCCAGGTCCGCCCCTGGAGTGGGTCTGCGAGGCCCCGGACTGTAGTGCATAGTGGTCGCAGACATCCTCACTCACCGGCCTTCCGCAGCGCCGGGTCCAGAGAGCGCAGCGGAGCGTCCGCTACGCCAGCAGCCGTTCAGCTCAGGCTGCTGCCATCTTTCTTTCGGGAAGAGGCAGGCAAACCAGCCGGGGGTGGGGCGAACGGGGGCGGTCTCCTTAACGGACACCGGCGCCGCCATACTTTCTGTGGGCGGAAGCGCCCGCGCGGCCGCCCCAAGACGGCCAGTGAGAAGGGCGCGCGCGGGCATGTGACGGCCAGCCCCGGCCTTGCTGCCGCCAATCCCCCGCCGAATCACAGCGCCCCGTGGTTCGCTGCCTCTGGCTCCACTCACTGCCCAGGCAGTGAGCTCCCCGAACGCAGTCTTGCGCACACAGCATGCGCACGCACCGCCCTGTCGGCGCTGCGCCTGCGCACTCGGTGCGCGCACGCCCACGATGAAGCTGCTTCGGCGTGCGTGGCGGCGCCGGACGGCGCTTGGCCTGGGTGGCCTCGCACTTGGAGGTGCCGCGCTGCTGTATTTAGCGCGTTGCGCATCACAACCCGCCACTCCCGCTGCCGCCGCCGCACCCCGCGTCGCCGCCTTCCTGGCCGTGCTGGTGGCCAGTGCACCCCGAGCCGTCGAACGCCGCAACGCGGTCCGCAGCACGTGGCTGGCGGCGGCGCGGCGCGGGGGCCCAGGCGACGTGTGGGCACGCTTCGCCGTGGGCACAGGTGGCTTGGGCGTCGAGGAGCGCCGCACCCTGGAGCGCGAGCAGGCGCGGCATGGCGATCTGCTGCTGTTGCCCTCGCTACGCGATGCCTACGAGAACCTCACGGCCAAGGTGCTAGCCATGCTTGCCTGGCTGGACGAGCACGTGGCCTTCGATTTCGTGCTCAAGGCCGACGACGACACCTTTGCGCGACTGGACGCGCTGCTGGACGAGCTACATGCGCGTGAACCCGCGCAGCGCCGCCGCCTCTACTGGGGCTTCTTTTCCGGCCGCGGTCGCGTGAAGCCGGCGGGGCGCTGGCGTGAAGCCGCCTGGCAGCTGTGCGACTACTACCTGCCCTATGCGCTGGGCGGCGGCTATGTGCTTTCGGCCGACCTGGTGCGCTACCTGCACCGCAGCCGCGAATACCTGCGCGAGTGGCACAGTGAGGACGTATCCTTGGGCGCCTGGCTGGCACCCGTGGACGTGCAGCGCGTGCACGACCCGCGCTTTGATACCGAGTACAAGTCCCGCGGTTGCAACAACAAGTACCTGGTGACACACAAACAGAGCCCGGAGGACATGCTGGAGAAGCAGCGCTCGCTGCTGCGCGACGGCCGTTTGTGTGCACACGAAGTACAGCTGCGCCTCTCCTATGAGTACGACTGGTCTGCACCGCCTTCGCAGTGTTGCCAGAGGAAGGAGGGCATCCCCTGATTGTGCTAGAGGAAACCTGACAGAGCTGGGGTGGATTCAAGCCGCTTGGACAGCTTCAATGCCCTGGCTGAGAATCTGCTTCAGCCCAGTTAGTTACACCTTGTGGTTGTGCAGATCAGGGGCCACATGCTGACCCCCTAATGCAACCAGCAGGAACCAAGCCTGTGGTACTTCCCTGCCGTGGGGCTCTGGGCATCCTCCTGCCTGCCCCAGTGACTCTGTGTGTTCCAGGGCACTGCCCACCTGTACTGCCGAGGTCACAGTCACCCGTAGGCGCCTGCACTGAACTTGCTCGTGTAGCCACACAAGGGGCTTTCGCCAAAACTGCCTTGTACCTTCTGGACAGATTATTCTTTGTGTCTCTGGTCGATATCACTAGTAATACTTAAGTCTGAAAATTGAGTCGGTTTCACATTAATTAGCTTTGATGGCATTGTGCTCTGTTTCCTAGAGAGAGTTTATGGTAAATATAACTCAGTATTTGCCAGAGTCCTATTTATAAATACTGAAATTTGTGTAGGTAAGTTTTAAGTTGGGAGTGTCCAGGTATTTTTTAAATTTAAGAAGAGACTTTCTTATGAGAATTTGGAATGTGTGAGTTAATCCTGTATCAGCTTGTCTGACCCTGCTGCTGTGTGTTTAAACAGAATTTTCCCACTGTCCATTTTTCTTTTAAGTTTACACACAAGTCAGTCCCTTTGTCTCTTTCTGAACAGACTTTCCTTTTAAGGCCTCCACACAGGAGTTCTGAATCCTTGTTACTTAGATCAGCCCAAGTTCCAGGAATTGGCCCTTGGTGTGTTGACAAGGCTTCCCAGATTCTGTCTTGAGAAAATGACTTGCTGGCCAGCACCAGACCACACAGACCTTCACACAGCCAGCATATCCTTTCTTTTATTTTTTTCTTTCTTTCTTTCTTCTTCTTTTTTTTTTTTTTTTTTTTTTTTTTTAATTTCACTCCCATTTAATATGAAAAGGGAAGTCTGGTCTTGGGAGAAGTAAGCCTTCTTGAGGACAAGCAGATGGCCCTATGCTGGCCTCAGCTGCTGGGCCACATGTGCTCCTGGACTGATGAGGTCTTGTGTAGTTGCCTGGGCTATGTGGTCCCCTTTTGGAAATGCAAGTGAGGAGGGGACACTACTGCCTTTTATCACCTTGCTTTTGGGGTCTTGGGCTGTGATTTTCCTGAAGGGGAAAATACCCAGCAGTGGACCTAAAAGGCCTTGTGATCAGGGGCCTGCCCTGCCCTTCTGTCTTCAGAAAGTCGATGGGACCAGAAAAGGGCTGAGGCCTGCACCATTCAGAGGTGGGTGCCAGTGGGCTTCCTCACAGCCCCTTGAAGCCAGGATGAGCTGCCCTGCATGTCCGGTGGAAAGAACCAGGTCGAGGGGTGTTGGTAATGCAAAGACCATATTTGTGCCAGCCATCTCACCTGACCCTTACAGTCAAATTGTTTGAGAAGTTGATGTAACTCCATTCTACAGATGAGGAAGAGGCACACAAAGAGACGGGAAGTCAGAAAACCATGCGGCTAGAGCAGAGCTGGACTTGAGCTGGGGACTAGACTCCCAGATCTAGTGTGTGCTGCAGTCCACAGCATGCACACAGTGCAGATGTCCAAGTTGGCCTCACAAGAAAGTAAAAATGATGCCCAAATTTGCCAGTTGTCTTAGTTATGTTTTTCTCATAGCCGAAACAAAATGCCTGGCACCCAGAGTTAAAGGGAAAAGGTTTATTTGGCTCACAATAGAGGTTTCATTCCATAATCGGCTGGCTCTAAGGCAGGGGCCACTGCAGAGGAAAAACAGTTCACAGCAAGCAGAAGATAGCAAAACAACCAAGGACCTTAACAGTGTCTTTCTGCCCTTTTTACCCAGGTTACTTAAGTTGAATAGCACTCACACCCTTAGTCCTAGTGCCCCCAATCCTAGCATTGCACCATGAATCAATCCCAGTGTCACGCATTCTAGATCCAGCCACCTCTAAAAAGCCTCCCCTCTGACCACATGAGGCTTTAGGGGGACATCCAGACATGGCCATAACAGCAACATTCTGTGAAAACATTTGATGTACAATGAGAAGATCCATGAGGCCGGGCCGGGCCTTATGAAGATCCAGGAGAACCACACAGTAGTACCACATTTAATAGTTTTCACCTAAGGAAATAGCAGTTTCAGGGCTGGAGACAGCTCAGTGGCACAGTCCCTGCCTGGCAAGTGCAAGGTCCTGAGTTTTGATTTCTGGTAGCAAAAAAAAGTTTCATTCAGGCATAGTGTATGCCTGTGGCGGCAGCAACTTGGGAAGCTGAGGCTGGAGGAGCACCATAATTTGAGACCAGCCTGGGCTGCATAGTAACTTCAATGCCAGCCTGAATTATGTAACAAAACTTGGTCGTTCCCCCCACCACCACCCCAGAATCGAAGCTACTTATTGTTCAACCTGCAGCATTAAGTTTTAAAGCAGAACAGCCAACCTGACTGACCCTCATCCATGCTGCAGTCAAGAGTGGTCAGGACTTGAGGAGCCTGGTTCTTGGCAGTAGCCTGTGGCCACCTGCTGTCCATAGCCCTGAAGCCAGTGGACTGGCCATAAGCAGTGGATCTCAAGGAACCTAGCCTCCGTCCTGCTGGCCCCTGCTTCTGGGCCCTCTCCTGTGCCAGCCATCTCAGCTGACTCTCACAGTCAAATTATTTGAGAAGTTGATGTAACTCCATTCTACAGATGAGGAAGAGGCACACAAAGAGACGGGAAGTCAGAAAACCATGCGGCTAGCACCTCAAATCTGCCCTGCAAAAGTTTCCCTGCTGGGGTGCTGATCAGAGCATTCACACCTCTCCTGGAGCCCATAGCTTGGCCCAGGCTGTCTGACCCCAGGTGCCAGCAGGTCCCTGGGAGATGGAAGTTGGATGCCCAAGACCACTTTTATAGGATGCTTCGGGCACTCAACAGTTTGCTTTTCCTAGGCCAGACCAGTGTGTCTCCTAAAGTGGCCCTAAGATCGCGCCCATCTGCTGCACCACTGGACCTGGGATGTGGTGGCAGAACACTAATAGCACCATCCGAAGGTGTCCATGTTGCAGCAAGTGGGGGGAGGATGGACCCTTCTGCTGCCCGCTCCTGGTGACGGGGGTCCGGTCTTCCTTAGGGTTGGGTGGAAACACCAGAACAGCTTGAGACAGGGTTGTGGTTTCAAGGGCCACCTGAAAACAGAGACTGAGTCTGGGTCCTCAGGACCATCCCACCCCTCAGCCCTAAGGGAAGACCTTGGGGGAAGGAGCCCTGGGCACCTGATGGAATGTCCAGGTCTCTATCTCCACTCACCCTCACAGGCTATGCCCAACTGTGACCTGGGTTCTCAAGTTTCTGTTGGGGACTGAACTGTGTCCCGCAAAGATCTGCTTAAGCCCTAACCCTCATTGTAGTGAAGGGGATTTTATTTAGAAATATTTGTTGAGATTAGTTAAGACTAGGTCCTCAGTCTAGTAGAACCAGCCCTTAACAGGAATCAGAGACAGCAGAGACACTAGGATTGGCCAGTTTCCTACACCAAGGAGTCTTGAGGTGGCAGCACCACCTGGGGCAGCAGAGGAGTCCACCTGTGGCCTCAGGGTAAGTAGCTGCTGAAGCCATGACTTGGGTCCCTTAAATCACAGGGCATGTGGTGCTTTACCCCCAGAAACCAGAGCACTCCAGGTGCCACATGGGCATGGGACAGACATAGGGAGGGGCCTCCCAGACCTGAAGGCCCAGGAGTAGCTGGTCAGACACTCCAGGTTCTCAGAGCAGAGCTGAAGAGCGACAGAGAGGAGGCTGATATTGGAAGCCCTGCTGCAACCTGGGTTGCTCAGTTAGCCATGTGACAGTTTTCCAGTTGAGTTTGAAGTACTCTTTGAAGTACTTGGTTTTTCTCTAAGAGGCTCAGGTGAGTTGGCATTCCCACAGTGCCCAGGGGGCAGATGACAGGCCTGCCTGCACCGAGGCCACTTTTGTCTGTGTGGTCACCACCCAGCTCTGGGCTCCAGGGCACCTTGGGGCCCACCAGCCCTGCTCTTGGGCCCTCTACTTTCCTTGATGCTTATGGGACCCAACCTCTTTCTTTGGAGCCTCCCAACCATGTTCCCACTCTACTGACACACAACCCTTCCCCTGCTATCCTGTGAGGTTCCCATGGTGTCCTGAGGGAGCCCACTTCACCCTTCCTCCAGGATTCTCAAGCCTCCCCGTGGAAGGCAGGGTGGCTGGAGGTGGGGAACTGGTACCTAGGCAACACTGTGGGTGATGCAGAGGACAGGTAGGTGCCAAGGATGCAGCCGACCTGAGCCTCCTGTCTCCCTCCCGGGCAGCTGCACACCTCTCACTTGTTCTGGCCACCAGTGAAACTGCAATGGGGCCTCGGTGTGGCTCAGGGGGCTGGGGCAGGGGCACAGTTGTTCCATACCTCCCACTGGCCTTGGAGCTGGATTGGATGCTGCTCAAAGCTGCTCAAAGGGCACAGACAAGGGTGTGGGAGTCTGGACAGTCATCAGTGTCATCCTCTAGAGTAAACACCCCCTGCACAGCCATTGGCCTGTTGGCCTGCGTCCAGCTCTACTGCTGCTGACCCAGGGCCTAACCTGGCCCTGCAACCTGAGGAGGAGGAAACTCAAGCCCAGCCCCGCCTTCCAGTGGCGTCTGAGGGTCTCAGCTGGCCCAGACTCCCCCAGGGCCTCTGCAGTCCCCTAGCCACTCACTTCTGATCCCTAGGGGAGTGATGGATGGCCAGTGCCAGCTCAGTTTCCAGGTGGTGTCAGAAGGACCACCGTGTCTTGCCTGCCTCCCAACGGCACCCAGCCTCAGAGTCAGAATCACACAGTTGCCTGGAAGGCTCCTTGAGCCTCAGAGTATCCTGTGTGTGCCTAGGACAGTGTCAGAGACAGCCCTCTGAGCTAGTGGGACTGGACCCACAGAAGGGGGAAAGCCGAGGCAGGTTTAGGGGAACTAGGTGAACCCTACTTGTGGAGATCTTTTGCTGCAGAAATGCAGTTTGCTCAGCCTTAAACACACAGTGTCCCACTGTGACCTCACATGTCCCATCCACAGTGGGGCATTCTCAGGGCTGTGGGCTCAGGTAAGGGTAGGAGCCTGCCAGGCCACATGTGTGACACGCCTGTTTCGAAACTGATGTTATCACAGCCAAGCAACCTATGAGTCACTGCCCCAGAGCAGGCTGCACCCCACGGTCTCCTGAATAAAGCCCCTTTGTCCCCACACCTGGCCCACCAGAGCAACTGTCAGATTCGCAGGCAGGTAGAGATGCCAATGCCCCAAGTCTGCCTCCCAGCCTACCCAGACCTAGCTCGAAGACCAGGCTAGAGAGCCCTCAGGTAGCAGGAAGCCCTGGCCATGACATTCTACCAAGTGGATCCTGAGGTCACAGAACTGGAGTGGTCTGAACAGAGGCCAGCCGCCTGTGTCCATTGAACAGCTGGGTCACACTCTACACATTGTCCAGCTCCGGGCCACATTCCCATGTGAGGCCAGCATGGACTCCACAGACAAAAGGCCCACTGGCCCCTAGGAGCTGCTCCCAGAACATGGCCCAGGAGGTCCTGAAACCTCCACCCAGCACCCTCACTCTGGGTCACAGCCATCACAGGGAGCCAGCTCAGTACCCTGGTCCACCAGCCGACTTCGAGTAGCACAGCAAACACCACTGGGCCTCCCTGATACCAAGGGCCACAACCACAGTCACTTCTTTTTTTAAAAAAATTTCTCCCAGCCGGGCATGGTGGCTCACGCCTATAATCCCAGCACTCAGGAGGCTGAGGTGGGAAGATCGTTGTGAGTTTGAGACCAGTCTGGCTACAAAGTGAGCTCAAGGCCAGCCTGAACTACATAGCAAGACCCCATCTCAAAAGACAAAAATAATAATAATAATAATTTCTCCCTAACTAGTCACAAAGAATCCTTTATGTTTATTTTGTTTTTTGACAGGGGTATCTCACTCATTTTGCTCAGGCTGGTCAGGAACTCCTGAGCTCAAGCCAGCCTCTCTTCACCTCCCAAGCAGCAGGTCTGCAGATGTGTGCACTAAGCCTAGCTCTGCCCCAGTCTTCTGAGCTGAGTGAGTGGTGAGCACAGGCTCTGGCCCTGCAGGCTGCCCTGCGACTGCTCTACAGGGGCCTGGTTGTTCTGGCTCCTTGAAGCAGCCCTGGTTCCTGGGCAGAATGCACACACACACACACACACGCCATCCCACCCCCCAGACACAAAGGACTTCCAGGACACTGGCTCCTGGTGTCACCCTATGGACATTCACCTCCAGCACAGATACCCAGTGCAGAGATGGGGAGAGGCATGCAGGCCTCCGGAGCACCCCACACCAGGCTGCTCTTGGTCCTACGCCTAGGCAACATGAGACAGGAAAGGGTCTGAGTCTGGAGGTCACAGATGAGACATGGAGCTTCCTTGAGAGCTGGGAGGGAACCCCCAGCCTGACCAGGCTGCACAGACCAGACAGGCTCCTTTTGTACTTTGGGATCATAGCAGACGGGACTGCTGTCTGGCACCAGCAAAGCCATCTACACCCAACAGGTGGCCCAAGCTGCAGCCTGGCCTCTGGCCATGGCCAGCAGCCCCAGCCCTCCCAGCTTTCCCATTCTTGGCTCCTGTATAAACCCAAAAGGATGTTCCAGCCACCCCAAATATGATGTCCATATTCTTGTTTGTGTCCAAAGCCAGGACAGTGCACCAAGGGTGTGGGAGGTGGGGGGAAGAAAATAACAAATGCTGACCTGAAACTGAATTCAGCATAGCCTGGCACCCCAGGCTCTCAGGAAGCCTCGCCCACCCCCCTGCAAGGCCAGGCTGGAACATAATCACTCCTCCAAGTTGACCAGGAGCCATGGCCTCAGCTCTCACCAACCCCATCCCCAACCTGGCAGGCAGCAGGGTCAGACTGAGGTTCTGGGAAGTCGGCCTGGCAGCAGTTCGGCAAGTCCAACCAGTGCCTCCCACAGCTCTAGGGCAGGCTCAAGGTCAGAGGTCAAACTGAGGCCATCCAGCACCGCACAGGGCCAGCTGCTCTGGATCTGGCCTCAGCTGAGGCTGGGAAGTAGTCACATGCTTGGGTCCCCTAAGTACAGCCCCAAAATGGAAGAGCCCAAAAGGAAAAAAAAAAAAAACTGCCTTTCGTTGGGTTCCTCCAACCCATGGGACCCAGCCAGCCCCCACGCCCAGCAGCCACAATACAGGTGCAGCTCGCAGGCCTGGTGTTCAGATTAGGTACTGACAGGACACAAGAGCCACAGTCTAGCTGGGTGCAGCAGGAGATTGGGCGCCTGGGTGCTCTGGGCCTGGGGCCTCTCGTCTCTGGCTCCCACCCTGCTTGGCAGCCAACTCTGTGTTGCTGGGCCTACAGCCATATTCCAGGGAATTTGCAACTAAGTGGCTAATGACCCCCAGTGAGGGCAGGAATGAGGGGAGAGGAGGTAGAGGATACAGGTAATCAGGCACCAAGACCCAGGGCCCACCCCAGTCCTGGCCACCTGCCATGTCTCCCATCTCTCATCTCCTTGTGGGCTCTGAGGCCCCCGTCCACCCTGTCATTTGTATCTCAGTTGTCTCAACCAGAGGAGGGGTAGAGGGCTGGCTGCCATGGAGAGTCAGGAGACCCCATGGCTGTGGGCCCAGGGGTCTGGTGGGCACTGGGACCCACTGGGACCCACTAGACCCCCAGGCCCACAGCTCTAACCCATGAGAAAGGAACCACCACTGGGGGGCAGGCAGAGAAGGCCTGGTGACTCCAGGGCTCTGGTGTCCTGCCATCCTCCCTCCCCTCGCTTGGCCCCTCAGCATCTTTAGGACAGGCCCTGGAAAGTCCTTTGTTTCCCCCACCTCAGTGAGTAATGACCTTTTGCCCTCTGTGCTGAGCACTGAGCAATATGCCCATAAGACCCAGGCCTACAGGCTGGCCATGCCTGGCAAGGGTACTGGGGCAGGGGGCCCCAGCCTGATCTCTGCCTCTGGCCTGGGCACCAGGGTTGCCGTAATGGAGAATAAGCAGGAGCAAGGGCAGGGAATCTGTCCTGAGTTGGCCCCTTGGGACTCCAGAGGTGCTCCACACCAGTCTTGCAGCTTTCTTGGCCCTTCTCATTAGTCGGGGCTGGTGGCAGTAGCTGCAGTGGAGCACAGAGCCCTCCAGATGGCTGCAGCCCTGGCACCACCAAGGTTACCAAGGAGAGGTTGGGATGGCCAGTGGGCAAGCCTTCTGGACATCAGTCAGAACCCACCCAGCATCACTGAAGCCCACTGGCATCAGTGAGGGTGTGGGTGCCAGTGGAGATGGTAACTCAGCAGCTCGGGTGCAGGCCAGAACAGCCTAAGAAGAATACTTTTTTTTCTGGTACCGGAGATTGAACTCGTGACCATGCACTTGCAAGACAGGCACTTATGCTGCTGAGCTAAATCATCGGCCCTGAATTTACATTCTTTAGTCTAGGTTTGAAGAAGACAAAACAGGATAGGTTAGGGCCCAAAGCGCTGAAGCCCATAGGGCATGAAGCCAGGGTCTTGGCTATGGTACCAGGGTCATAGTAAATGGATTACTTGGTCTATGTTTCATGGATCACAGCAATCACTCGGAAAAGTGACAAGATGTAGGCATCTGCTGGCAGTGTCCTGTAGTAAGCCTGGGCACTGGGAACCTCTAAGCTCACAAGTGCCCTCCAGCTTGGAATGCTAGCTCATGCCTGTGGCCGGCTTGAGTGTGCATGCCTGGATCCCTTCTGCCCCTACCAGGACAGAGCCCTGGGTGCCCTCTTGCTTGCCTGGGTCCCTCACATCTCAGCAGCCTGCCTCTAGTTGGAGGATAACGGGTCTGGGTGGGCCAGCCTGCTTCCTCCAAGGCTGGACAGGTAGGCAGGGTCCTGTGAGGACATCAATCCTTATCCTCCTGGTAAACACAGCTGGGTTCAAGTGCTACCTGACACTTAGGTATCCCCCACCTATGTGGGGTGTCAGCCATGTCCCCCCATTTCATGCCCCATGGATATCCCTTCGGCTCCCCAATCCCATCCCAGACGTCAGCTGCCCAGCTCCCACCTCCATAACGCAATGACCAGGCAGCACCCACAGGCACAGGGAGGGCTAGGGCTCTTTATTGTTGTGACCACAGGGGCCACCATGGGGATCCTCTTCACCTTCTCCCTGAGGTGGCTGGCAGTTCCTTCCTGGTACCCTCATGTGCCCAGGAGCAGCCCAGAGAAGATGGAGCCACCCTGAATGGTGAGGGCCACCCCAGAGCCATTGTCCACAAACACAGATGCATACTGTCCTGCCTGTAGATATTGTCCAGCCATCAGCAACCATGCAGCACCAGCTTGGCACCTGCCCACCCACAGGGAGAATGCACAGAGTCCCAGGAGCCTGTGGAGTGACCTCGCCTGGCCCTCACCTGCAGCTGCAGCAGCCCTTGCACCTGTACTGTGAAGACCCGGCTGTTGCTCTCCAGACCTGAGATGGCCTCCAGGGACCTGGGCACAGCACAGTAGGTTCAGCAAAGACACCAGGATGCCACTCACTACCTAGCCCTGGGCCCAAGGTCAGTGCACTCACATGTGGCGATGGCATAAGGACTCTATGCAGATGAGGACACGCACAGTGTCCCGGGCTCGCAGCCGGGCCCTGCCCTGCAGGGCACCGTGGTCTGTGGAGACACTGGCTTCAGGACAGGCCCAGAGCAGGCTGCAGGGGCCAGGAGGGTGGTCTGAGGCCCAGGGATCCCAGGGAGCAGTCTGCAGTCACCCAGGGCCAGCCCACCCTTGCCTCCCACTCCGCACACGACTGCCTGGCTCACCCACGTGCAGGCTGGCAGAGAACTGGAAGATGGCAGAGATGGGGGCTGTGAATCGGCCAGAGGCCAGGCTCAGTCCGGACCCCCTCAGGAAGGCACGCTGGGCAGTGGGCTGTGGGGCAGCAGGTAAGTGGCTGGCTCTTGCAGGGGCCCATCTCACAGTGGGCAGGAAAGTTGGATCTAATTGGCCACACCCACCGGGGACCCGGTCCCAAGGGTGGATGGTGCCAAGAGCCCCCAGAGCAGAGAACCTCCCTGTCCCTACCACTATGCCCTGGTGTATGGCGGGACTCTTCCTGGGTCACCCAGCCCGAGCCCTCAGCTTGTCCCACTCACAGCCTGGAAGCCCCGCAGCTCCACCAGGGTCCTCTGGTCCACCAGCATGGGACCCTTCAGCCGGCAGTGGAAAGCCTCAACCACCTGTTGCTGGCCACCCACCTGGGGCAGCCATGTGTCCAGCAGTGCTGAGAACCGTCGCTCCGTGGCCTCTGTGGGGAAGAAGGCGATGTGAGGTCAGGTCCCTCCCAGCCTGATGGAGCCTTGGGACTTGGGAGAAGCTGCTGGCAGCCTTACCTCTCAGCATCTCCTGAAACTCCTGCAGGAGGGACTCTGGGGTGACTTCCGCACCAGGGGGACCTGGGGGCCCGGGGGGACCAGGGGGGCCTGGGGGACCCAAGAGGCTTCGCTGTGAGGAGATAGAAGAGATAGTAAAGGACCTGGTATAAATCACAGCCACTTGCTGCTCTGGGCTCAGATACCTCGGACGCTGTGGGCCGGCCTTGCTAGGAACTCACCAACTTCTTGTCTCGGCACCGGCACCGTCGCTTGGAAGCCCCATCATCTGGCCGACGGACAAAGTTCAGCCACGTCATGTGGGCATTTGAGAACTCAGGTCCTGAGGCCTCCAGCGGCTAGATGGCCAGGGGACAGGGCTAGTGCAGTGACCATTTGGTCTGCTAACCCCTGCCCGCTGTGCTCCAGAGAGAGCTGGGATCTCAGGTCACTGGGGATGCTCAGGCTCATAGGAAGAGGACTCCTGCAGCCTAGAGGACCACAGGGGCTGGCCACCTCAGACACAGAACTCAGACATGTTGGTGGGTAGGGGTACTGGGAAGACATGGACTTGGGCCTCTGTGGAGCCAGGGCGTGATGCCTGGGCACCAGGCCTGTGCAGGCATGGGTATGACCACTGGCCATGTTCCCACACAGAAGGGCATTCCTTGGTGCACATGGGGCTGCGGCTTCCCACCAGCCTAATATGTCCCTGACAATGGGCTTGACCCTGGGTGAGGCAAGAGAACACAGGGGAGTAGGCTGGGGAGTGTGGCTGGTGGGGGACCAGGCCCGTTTCTGGGGAGCAGGCAACTGGCAGGAGGTGCCTGGAAGGGATAGGAGCAGGCTACCACTGGCTGGCAGAGATCTTGGACCCTCCAGAGGCCCTCGCCTCACTGTCTGCCCACCCTTTCAGGGAACCAGATAGGATTCCACTCTGTCTGGTTGGAGCCAAAAGAGCAGGCAAGGGAAGAGGAGAGCATTTGCGCTACCCCAATACCTCCCAATTCAGTCTCTGCCTGACCCCCGACCAGCACCACTCCCTCAATGCCCACTGGACCCTCCAACAGGAAGGAAAACGACACGGAGGCCACACAGCTGGCTCCCTCCTTTGTGGCACTGCCCCTGCTGGGCAGACAGGCAAGCTGCTGCCAATGTCAGGTGGACACCTCCTTCCTCCATGGATGGTGACTGGGCTGCTCTGGACCCCACCCCTGCTGGCATCCCCCACATCCTGGAGCCAACTAATGCCTGCGGGGAGCCAGCTCTCAGCCCACTTTCCCTCCATTTCTCCTGCTTGCCCTTGTGGAAAATGGCCCCTGGCTCTGGGGTCTTCGTGGACCAAGAGGTACCCAGCCTGGCTGCCACAGAGCTGCCCTTGGGAAGACAGAAGTCAGGATCAAAGTGTGGGACTGGGGGTGCTGCTAGGGCAGGGACACTGGCAGCAGCAGGAGACCTTGTGGCCAGTGCTCCGAAACCCACTGCCCAAGAAGGAAGGACGCCAGGTCTGCGGTCTCCAGGAAGCATAGGGACAAGCTCATCATGCCGGCTCCAGCCTCAGGAGTTGGTGCTCTGCTGCCTACACAGGTTCTGGTGGGTGACCCACCTGGCATGCAGCCCCTCCCGGTCCCCCCAAATTAGCAGTCAGATTGAAGGGCAGCAGTTTGCCCAAAGCACCGGCCCTAGGGCTTCGAAGGCAAGACTGCAGCCCCTTGGGCAGGCCTCACCTTTCCGGCCCCTCCCAAACCCACCCAGGCAGGAACTGGCTGCCAGATACAGGGGCTTCCCTGAGGCAGGTCCAACCACCACAGGCACAGCAGTTCCCGCTAGTACAGCCTGACGGCAGGGCCCGTGCATACCTTGGCGGAGCCTGGTAGCCCCTCGCTGTTGGATACGGTGGTGTTGGGGGACTCTGTACGCTGGTCCAGCTGGCGCGGCCTCTTGGGCTCCCGACGCGCCCCGGCACAGCTAAACAGCGTGAGCTGTGGCCAGAGGAGGGCCACTGCCGCGGCTGCGGCCCAGCACTGCATGGCTCGCGCGGCTCAGCGCCCGGCTGCGCTCATGGGGGTGGCGGCCTCAGAGCCCCCGCGCGGGCGCCAGGCCCAGGGGCGCGCCCGGCCGCCGCTGGTGCATGTCTGTTCTGTTGGCGACGGCAATAGGAGGATGCACTCCAGTCCCAGGTTTTCCCTGCAGAGCTCTCGCCCAGGCGTGCGCCACCAAATGAGCCTCGCGGGCCCCAGAGGACGACTCCCATGGCCCACCCGCCAGCGCTCCTCCGCGGGGCGGGACAGGGGCGGCACTGGGGCGGGACCCCACTGACCACCGCCTCCTGCCCTTCCAGGAAACCCAGGAAATGGCAGGCACCAGGGACTGCCCCGCCCTTCCTGCCCACCACGCCCCCAGACCCTCCTTCTCAGGAAGGTCCTCCAGGCAACTCACACCCAAACCTGTAGGAGCTCTAGGACACAGCCCAGGAGCCGCACAGAACCCCCAGCCCTCCCACTCGCCTGCCCCATTCATCACCCCAAGGTAGGCCCCTGCATACCCCTTCCAGCCACCAAGGAGGAGGCCCATCCAGAAGCGGCAGATGTCAGGAAGAAGGTGGCCCAGCACTGCATGGCTCATGCCCAGCCTGTCTCCACCCTTCGAGCAAAGAACCTCAGAACTCCCCAGGTAGGTCAGCACACACCTGGGCCCCGCTGAGTGGACACTGTGGAGTGGCACCCTCCAGACTGGCCAGCAGGATTTCCTTTCACCAGATGGGTGGGATAGCAGCCAGTCCCCAGAGGGCTCCCAGGTTCCTAAGCACTCCTAGGCTGCTTATAGTAGGTCAGCTGACCAGGGAACCCTGTGGGTCCTGCTCAGTGGCAATGGGTTTGTCCCCAATGGGACTGTCCCCCAATTAGTACCAGCTGAAGCCAAGGATGGCCAGTGGCCATGGCAGCCTACAAGTAGTAGTTAGGAAGATGGGCAACCTAGCCCCAGCAGCCTGAGCTCTGGTGAACGGCAAAGTTCCTGACCCACCCTGACTCCTGGACCCAGAGGGGCAGGGAGCCAGACGGAAGACCCCTCCCTATACCACAACCACAGGCAGAGCTACCCAGGACAAAGCTGGGGTGAGAGAGGATGCCTGGAGGGGACAGCAGTGGACAGTGGACTATATGATGATAATGATGGGGTGAAGGTGAAATATGCTCAGTGCACCCCACTGGAACCCAACATGGTGACTTATCTAGATGTGAGATGTACCCTGCGGGTGTGACTCAGGGCAGGGGCAGCTCATTAAGGGCCTCCACAGAAAACCCTTCCTTGCCCAGGGATGCAGGCCCTTGACATACACAGAGGAGCAGTTTTACTGGGCCACCTGATCCAGATGGCTTAACCCTTCCATGGCCTGATCACAGAGCACCGCCAGATGATTCTGACTGTCCTACAAGAATGGGCTCCACAGAAGCCAACAGTTCTCCAGCCTCAGTGACCCAGAGACTGCTTTCCGAGTTGTGCACTAGGCCCTGAGCACTCCAGAGCCCAGGCCCCCTTCCCCCTAGCAGCACAAAGGACATAAACTATGCTTCTCCCAGAGCTGTTATGAAACCCCAAAGGCCAGCCTGGGAGTGTTTTCCTAGGGATGCAGCAGAAGGCTGCTGGAGCTGGGTGGGCATTGCTACCAGCATCCACAAAGCATTAAGTTCTTGGGGCATTCTTCCTTCTGCCCAAGGGGGAGGCACATAGGATACCCAGTGTATTCTTCAGTGACTCCAGAGCCATGCTCCCTTCCTGGGGAAAGCAACACAGAAAAAAACACCACACACACTTGGTCCAACAGGACAAAGGTCACCTTTTATTTGGATCAGTGCAAGCAACACACCGTGGCCACCACAGGGTCCATCATCACTGACCAGGAGCTGTTAAAAGCTGAGTTCACACATAGAGAATAATGTGTCAGGTGCTCTCTAAGTTTGCTAGCACTCTGTCCCAAGAGCTCAGGAAACTAGTACCTCCGGCCACAGACGTGCGCTCAAACAACTGGTACCCAGCTCAGGAGGCTGTGTGGGCCTCAGCCACACACAGGCAACTTGGGGCCCACAGCCCCAGGCCAGGCAGGCAGCACAGACACAGGATCCAGGACCTGCTGGGAGGTGAGGCCTTGCCACAGGTGCTCGGCTCCAAGCCTTGAGTCTGCACTAACAGTGCAGCGTGGGGCAAAGAAACGAAGGGACAATGAAAGGTTTTTCACAAGTGGGGCAAGCACATAACACATGGTAAACAACATGGTGACCAGAAAACAAAGCAGAGATGAGTACACAGGCTGTGCTCCAGCTCCACTGCTCGGTGCTGGAACGAGGTGGGCACCAGGGGTGACCTGGGCCGTGTCCAGCCTTGGATGCAGCAGCATCGCCCCCATCTGGCGACACACAAATGCTGGGTTTTCTGTGATGCATCTTCCCTATGTACATGCACTGCAGGTGGCTGTCACTAAACACAAAGGCCGAAAAAGGAGATGAGGGCCATGGCACATATGGAGTCCCAGACCCCTGGCTGAGACCAGGCAGGCTGACACTAGCCCAGAGTGCCTCCAGGGCAGGTTCCCTTCTGGGATCTGGCAGTGTGGGCCACCACAGAACTGGGATCAGCAGGAGGGAAGCCTCCATGTACACAGCACCAGCCCACGGGCCTCGGGTCTCCACCTGCCTCCACCTGTACAAGAGGAGGACAGGCTTGGGCTAGCTGGGCATGAGAATTCAGAGGAAAGGCTCTGTAGGGCCCAGGACCTGCAGCCCCACAGCACCCAAGGGGCCAGAAGATAGCAGACTAGAGAGACTGAGGGACTCATGGCAGCCCTAATGGCTACCTTGCCTAGGAGACGCCACAGCGCCTCTAAGTGAAGGACGACTCCTTGTGGCCAGAGCAATGGCAATCGGAGCATCGTGCCAGAGAAAAAAATGAGCAGCTTCTAGAAAGAATCTGTGTCACTCTAAACGACCACAAGCACACTTTTATGATGAGTCCAAACCATCTCTCCTGGACCTCCTGCCCATGGCTGTCCATGGCTGTCACATGGCCCCTGCCACCTGGACAGTGCTGGCCCCATCCCAGCACCCAGCTCCAGCCTGCAGGGAGTCAAGAGCTCTACTAAGAATGCACACAGGGTACTAAACAGGCATTGAATTTTGTATTTTTAAGTGACCAAATCTAATAAAATGAAAAACAGGTTTACTAAACAGGTTCAAAAGACAATACAGGAGATAAGCTACAAAATCAAAGCATGAGCCACCCTCGGCGATGCCAGCCCCTGGTAGACACTTCACTGGGTGAGAAAAGAAGCTGAGAATCTTGAATTTCCTCCGAATCACACGTTTTGGTTTTTGCTTTCCTTTTAAGGTTTTAAAAAAGTGAAACCCAGGAGTCTGGTGGGCCTGCCCCGGCTCGGCAGCGTATCCTGCTGGCCCAAGTCAAATTCTGGGACCTTCGTCCCAATAGTGACTGGGCCATGGTTCACTCTTGTGCTATGCTTCTCAGCACATACTTGACCGTGTAGGCAAAGGCTGCAAACCCAACTATAACAAACAAGTTCGCCAGGGCACCACCCAGGAGTCCATGGTGCCGGTTGGCCTGCTGAAGCCCAGCCAGGTTCGGGCCGGCACCAGGCGCGTGCCCGTTGAGAAGCTGGATCCCGTTCTGGCCATGGTGCGCTTCCCCATCGGGAACTACGTCTGGCAGGGGGAGAATCTGCGGCCTGCTACTAAGTTCGTCTTGTGCTTTCTGTTTTTGTTTAATTTCCTAAGGAAAAAAACACAAGAAACCAAGATCGGTTTGAACGAACCAGTTGCGTGTTAGGAGCTGCACTCCAGGTTCTGGGTCCCACATGCCAACTTCTGACATCCGAAGTGGGCACAGCTCCTGACCCCAATCCACAGGAAAAGGAACCAAGCAAGCTGACAAAATCACCACCCCGTGCGAGTCAGCCAGGGTGGAATGATGCGGTACCATAGAGGCCCCCGTCCCTGCAGCCACAGCCACATTCTCAGCTCTAACACCAGGACCAGGGAGCACTTGGCCCCATGGAGCACAGATGCCCCTGCGTGCCCCCACAGCCCTAAGAGGGACTCACGCATGTCTTCTCTTTGTAAAGAATGGAATCTAAAAATGTTTTTAACGTAAAGGAAGCTAGAACTGAGTTCCAACTTTCACTTTCTTACCTCCACAACTTCAGGAAATAATTCACAAAAAACTTTATCTTTTAAATTAAATGCTAAACTCTGTGCTGCCAGTTGTCTTTTCTAGAAAGAAAGAGAAGGAAAATATCAGCCAGAAAGCTAATTTTAATTCCTTAAAATTCTAAAAATAGACTGTCTTCATGCTGTAAACAGCAAATAATGAACTTGTTCTTTACAACACACCAGTCTCATGAAGGCTTATTTATCTTTTCATTATCAGTAACATTAAACTTGATTCCTATTTTTAAAACAGAAATAAATCAAACTAGCAAGAATGGATACATGTGCCCCTGCTCAGTTCCCGGAGGGAAACTCTCAGGCTGTGAGCCGGGCTTCAGTGGGTAAGTGCAAAGTCTAAGGCGAGTATGGTACATGATACATGCAAGTAATCCCAGCCACCTGAGGAACTGAGTTTGAAGCCACTCTGGAACAAATCAGCAAGACCCTGTCTCAAAAAAACCAAAAAAAAAAAAGTGTGTATAGGGGGATGCTGAGGATGAAGCTCAGCAAAACAGCACTCTCCCACCATGCACACGGCCCTGGCTTCCATGCCAGCACTAAGAAAACAAAACAAACATGGTCTAGAGGCAGGGGCTGACAGTGCAGCAGGCAGCAGGCATCCTGGAACAGAACACGCTTCACAAGGGGCAGCAACACTGACCAGCGGAAGCTCATGCAGTCTCTGCCTGCCAAGGAAAGATGCAGCCAAGCATCTGGGGAACACAGCCAGCCTCGGACATGAGGCCAAAGGCCAGGGTGTACGGGAAGCCAGATGAAGTTTTGCTACCCTCACCGTAAAGTCCGATGTCTCTATACTGCCCAGGGTGGGGCCCTTTTCCACCATGAAGCTCAGCAATCCGGTCAGGATAGTGGAGACGGACCAGGCTGGGTTCCACGTGTCAGGGTGGAAGTCCGTGATGGAGAGACACAGCCTGCAGGAGGAGGGCTTGGTGAGCAGGAGTGCACACCCCATGGCCGAAGCTGGCAGAGCACTAGGGCACCAGGAAGCTTACCTCGTGTTGCACTTAAACCTTCCATTGGGCGTTATCATGTAAATACTAGGAGGCTTAAAAGGAAATTCTCTGGGAAAAATCAGCTTTCCATGGTAATAGCCACCTACACCAAAACAGAAAGGAAAGTTGCTACCACCCACCATGAAAACAACACAGCCGAGGTCTCAACCCTCTCCAACTGGCTTCCCCCACCACAGCTCCACAGCCTGCTCTGTCCATCACTGGCCCACTCTCTGGTGCTGCCCATCTCCTGATGTCCATAAACACCGTAGAAGTTCACGACTACCCTGCCACAACACACCCTTCCTTCTTCCCTCTTTCCTGGACCATCACATTCAGAATATATCAGAACAAAACTTGCAGGTGCTCCAAAACCCAACACTGCTGGGCCTCAAGAGCTCCGCGCAGCTGAGCTCACCTCCTTTCCCCAGGGACTCCCCAGCTCCCACAGTGCCCATTTCTTAACTGTACCCAGAGACCAGCACATCTCACACCTAAAACAAAGCACACCAGACCAGACCTCACGTCCCTCCAACTTCTGCCAGCCACTCTTTCACCTCCTGCAAGGTCCCTGGAGCTCTCTCTATCCACAGTGGGTCTCTCCAAGGTCCCAGCCTCCAAAACCCAAGTCTACCTATTTAGTTTTGATCCCCTACCACACGCTACATCCACAGTCCAAGCCTGACCTTGACACCACCCACATGTCCTCTATGGGGCTCTTACCACACCTTAGCAGTGTGGCCTCACCAGGAAGTCCTTCCTCACAGAGCCCACACCCATCTGTGGTTGCCCACAGGGGTCCAGGATGGTTCCCCAACCAGCACTTCAACCCCAAGCCTCGGGATCCCACGTTTTAAACTCTAGATCAATACACTGATTACTCACACCACACTGCCCTAGTCATATATATCCAGGATAGAATTCCTGTCATTTTCCAAGCATCTCCTCTCAGTCCTTGAGACTAAAACCTGGGAGGCCCCATGCAATCCCTATCATACCCACTTGGCAACTGTGTTGGCCAGACCAGCCCTGAGGCCTGTCTGAGACCTCTCCCCCAGAGGGATGTCAGGGCAGCCCTGCTCTGCTCCAGACCTTGCATCCTGGCTGCTCAGGCTGCCCCAAGGAGTCAGCTGGAAAGGTAGAACTGAGCAGAATGTAACACTGGACAGAACTCCCCAGCTCTGCATGGGGATAGCAGTGTACATGCGGTATGCTGTCCCCGAACCTTGGCTGCCTCTTTGCCCAAGCACCCGGAGTATGGACCTGCCTGGAACCCTTGATCCCAGAATCACCAGGTTGTGTCAGTAGCCCACCCCAAGGGCCTACTTAGGGTTAGGGTTAGGGACAAGCTCCCAAGCACAGGTTTCCTGTGCCACAGGAACAGCACTCAAGGACACACTGGAATCACTATGTAGTCAACAGTGTGACTCAATGAAAAGGAGGTGCCACACGCATGCACAAGACCCTCAAGAGAAGCCAAGATAGAAAGTCAGCAAACACTATAAACGAACACTTTTGCAAAGATAAACACAAACATCCAACACACATTTCAAAGTACTCTCAGCTCAGTGCCAACCAGGAACCAGTGTAACTTAGAACAGCAAGACACAGGCCATTTGCGGCCTCACTCACAGAGGACAGTAGACAGGAGGTGTCTCCTGCCTGTGTACATGTTCCTGCCAGGGGAACTTCATGACTTGCTGTCACCAAGGGCACAAAGGATCACATAACATCGATGTTCCCAGCACCCACCACTGTCTGTCCAGGTGAAACATGGGTATCTGCTTGCCCTTCAAAGAGAAGGATCAGATGAACGGACGGGAAATATATGACACATAACTTGGTGGAAACTAAACAAAACCCCCCAGCAGGCTGTGGTCAACACACACACTGAGTTACTTACACTTAAAAACACAAGTACGCCACTGTTACAAAGACATGCCTTTCATTTTTATTTCATTTGAAAACAAAATAAACATGGTCTCACTACATAGCCCAGCCTGTGCCTGAACTCTTCACTGTTCTACTTCAGGTTCCCAAGTGCTGGGATTATAGGTACACACCACAGGCCTGGCCAACGGGTATTTTAGACTTCGGGAATCAAACTCTCAGCAATCAAAAGAGTCCCAGGAGGCCTCATCCCAAGAGTGAGGAGAAGCAAGCGGAACACCTGCAATAGGCCACAGGAAGCCAGATGCTCTCCCATAAGTCAAAGCAGGGTCCCTGCCAGGCACACAACTCAGGTTCGCAAACACCCAGGTTTCCCTGGAACACAAGAAAATAGATGGTGACTCTGCCACAGCACAGCTGTGCCATAGCTTGAAGAAAGCCACAGAGATGGGCATGGTGCACACACCTGGTAATCCCAGGATTAGGGAAGCTGAAGCAGGAGGATAGCCTTGAGTTCAAGACCAGCCTGGGCTACAAAGTTCAAAGTAAGCCTAAACTACACAACAATACCATGTTTCAAAAACCTTCAAATAACAAAAAATAACAAAGGAACCCACAGCAAGCAACTTACTCAGGACCCTGACAGTGTCACAGCTGCCCAGGGCTCTAGACCTCTCGGGATGGGCTCCACCGCTGGGTCAGCAGCAGCTGGCTGTTTTCTGTGCTCTCCACCCTGCTCCATCTAGATCTCCTTGTTATAGTTTAGATCAAAAACCTCACTCAAAAGCCTCAGGCATCCAGAGCTGGGGGTCTTGGAAAGGTGCATGATTATGGGCCACCTTAGAGCTGCATGTGCTTTAGGAGGAGGGGCCTAGCACAGGGTCACTGGGGCACAACCTAAAAGCTGCCTGAGCTTCCTGGCTGCATGGGTTGAGCTGGATTTCCTCAGCCATGCCGCCCACCATGCTGCTTCTGCCCTGGAGCCAAATGACCATGGACTGAAACCCTGGGAAACCACAAGCCAAATAAACCTCTCCTTAAATTTTTCAGTGTTAGGTATTTTGTCCCAGTGACAGGAAAGTGACTAATACACTCCTGTATCACCATCACTGGAATTATATGAAATCTGGAAACTACTAGCTCTTTCATGTAACTTTTTTTTGGTCTTTTTGAGACAGGGTCTTACATGTAGTTCAGGCTGGCCTTGAGCTCCCTTTGTAGCCCAGGCTGGTCTTGAACTTGAACAGGAAAACTTGCCTCAGCCTCCTGAGTGCTGGGATTACAGGCACGCACCACCAGGCCTGGCTTACTCTTCTTTTAAGAAATTACCATTAGCTATTCTAAATCCTCTGCCATTTCAGATTAAATTGAGAGTAAAGAATCAGTGTGGGGTTGTCAGGACAGGGGTCCTGAACACTTTAGGACAGGAGTACAGGGATGCAGAGCCAGAGAAAAGCCACAAGGAAGGAAGGATGGGTCAGAACATGCAGTGTCAAAGTAGGAGAGTTTCTGGAAGGAAGTTGTCAACAGCATCAAGACACCAGGATCCAGAAACAGCACTGAGAACAGCCTCACGGCTGTGGCAATCCAGAGGGTTCCCTAGAGAGTGGTGCCAGAGGAGAGTAAGGATGTAGCTGCCAAAGGGCACCCAGGAGAGGTGGCAGAGAAAGGAACAAAGACTGGATACACCAGTGGCCTGAGGCACGTGACCACAGAAACTACGCAGGAGGGAACAGGACAAGGGGTAAGTGGGAACCTTGGAATGTGGGTGACACAGGCATGAAGGAAGGACTAGTGACAGGGCTGGGGGCCGCTCCTAGGGCCACAACCTGCCCGACCCCTCGGGGCTGCCCTCTCTCCTCACTGGTCTGGCTGGTTCTATGGAGGGAAGTGGTGTCCTGTCACAAAATAAATGCACACTATTAATATGAAAAATACAATGAAAAAAAAAAAGTATAATCCCACTTGTCTGAGACTACTACTACTACTGTTCATTTTTGGCATATATTCATCAAGCTTGGTAAAAATTATGCAAATTTAGTCAGGATTTATAGTTTCTGCACCAAATACTTTGAAGTCTGTCCTGCACCACATCTCTAGGAACTCATCCACTGGACTCCTCCTGACACAGGGACTGTACACACTTCCCTCAAGTAACCCTAACACCCAATCTGGGGATGTTCTTCTGAAGATCTGCCTCCAGGCACATCAGCCCAGAGCCAGGAAACCTGGGCCAAGGAGAGCCAGTAAAACATCGCCCAAGCTATTCGAGAGAATGCAGCTACTTTTCTCTTAAACACCCACAGCTCCCCCTTGACTATCTTGAGCAGTCGTTTCCTTTCTTTCTTCCTCCCTTCCTCCCTTCCTCCCTTCCTTCCTCCCTTTCTAGCCCCACCTTCTTTCTTTTGTGCTGGAAATCAAACCCAAGGCCTCATCACTGAACTACGCTCCATCCAAAGCAATGATTCCCAAACTCAAGCACCTTTGTTACGCAAGTCCTTTTTTCCCGTTTCACCACGTAGCCCAGAGTGGCCTTAAACTCACATTCCTCCTGCCTCAGCCTTCTGAACACCAAAACTGCAGATATGCACTACTACGCCCAGCTTCCTGAAACAAAACTTCATCCACAGGCACACAAAAGCCTGCTATTCTGGCCGTCCATACTCAGGCCTAGTGTTTGGGGAGCCAATGTGCTACCCACTTGGCCAGCACTCTGCCCTGGGGTGGCCTTGGGTCAGTGACTATGGGTGCATCACTGACTTGGTCCAAAGCCTGAGGCTAGTACCAGTGTACCTATAGACCTAGAGACTTGTTGGCTGCTGAAGTCAATCTTGCAGAAGACTCAATACCTAGATGGTATCGAGTGACTTGAGGGGTCAGGGTCAGGCAAACAGGTCAGCCCTGGCAGCAGTAAAGAGACCTGAGGGACCAAGCAGGCACCGTGCCCTCCATCCACATGAGGGGCTTGCCTTGGCACAGACTGCTCTGAGGATCACAAGACTCTGAAAGTGTCTGGCACTGATGAGGGCGTCATGGAGATATTTCCACTAGCCTTACAATCAGTAGAAGAATATGGCTACATTTTACTGTTGTCCCAATTGTTTTCCTGGCTCCAACTGATGACAGAAGAACACAGATACTTACAGGCATTTGCACATTTAGACACACCAGTAAAACCAAACTGCACTGTGAGTTCCAAACAAGTTCAATTTAATCACTGCACATGTGAAATAGGAGGGCTATTACTTACAAATGTTTAATGGTGAAGTCTCTATAGAGTGTGCTCTACTCACCGTCATAAGGGGTCATCTCAGGGCCTCGGACCACATAGTGCCTGATGGAGAGATGAAAATTACTTGAATTTGGATACTGTAAATTCTCCAAAACCAGAATCACTCCCAGACTGGAGTTTGCCAGAGCAGTTAGGACCATACTCATAGCAAGTGAAGAGCTGCAGGTCATGTGCCGAAGAGCAGCGCTAGCCTGGGGCTCCTGCACTGCAGGCATGGGGCACTTCACAGCAGCACCCCGGAAGTGTGAAATGTATGTCCACAACGCCCCAAAGTACTTCTGCTCCCACAACATAGCATGTGAGAAGTTCATCTTTAACCATTAACATACACTTTCTTAAAAATTTCAAGATACATCCAGATGTACTTTAACACTTATCTGTAAAAACCCAGGGCCGGAGATATAGCTCCACACCACAAGCGCCTGTCTGACAAGTGCAAGGTCCTAAGTTCAATATCCAGTACCAAAAAGCAAAAAGTATACCTTCTATTTTTTTGTATCATGCACTCAAGCTAGACAAGGAACAGCTGTGAAATTACTCCTGTGTGTCACCTCCCACTATGTGGATGTTCATGCAAATAACAAAAATACTTTCAGAATAAAACAACAGGGACAACTGTAATGAACTCTCCCCAAAGCCAAGGTCCTCACACAAAACTCCACCACAGAGCAGGAGACTACATACACCTCATGTAATAAATGAGGTAGAAACTTCAGGAAAGCAGAGAGCCTTGGGCTTTACAAGCCCTCAGACAAAACAAAAGAGCACAAAGCAGGCAAGACTTGGGGAGAAACGCCAGCAACTGCAAATGCCTGATGTCACCTTTCCAGAGACTTTCTCCCACCAGGACACATATGTACATGGTTTTGATAGAAAAGGAATTGTGAAACCTACATTAGCAGCCAAGGCGCCCATTATCAAGAACTGGTCCCAGGACCAGTGAGCCCATAGGTCAGGGCTATCAAAACCCATGGATGTCCCGGTACCGATAAAAACAAAAAAGACCAAAAAAAACAAAAAAAAACAAAAAACCATGGATGCTCACTCAAGTCCTCGTATAAAATGGAGTGGTGTTTGCACAGAACCCACAAACACGCTGTCATATACTTGCAGCATCTCTAGACTACTTACATACCTAACCCACTGAAAACATGTGAAAAGTGACGTGTGTAGTTTAGGGAAAAATCAAAGAAAGAAAGCCTGTATGTGTTGAATATCGACACTTCTTTTCCGTCTGAGTATTTTCAATTTGTTGTTAGTTGAACCCAAAAACTGACAGATAAGAGGGCCAGGTATATTAAAAATATTGTTGTCAGGGCTGGGGATCTAGCTCAGCAGCATAAGTGCCTGCCTTGCAAGCAGGCAGTCGTGGGTTCGATCCCCGGTACCAAAAAAAAGGAAAAACAAAAAAAAAAAAAATTTAAAAAAATTATTGTTGTCCTATGTGTGTCAGAAGACTATGGACAACCATGTAGCTTAGAGTATGCATAAGGCACAGCAGAACATAGCCCCATCTGCTCCTGCTCCAGTCACTGTCATCCAACCTGAGAAAACCAGGAGGGGACAGAGAGCACAGCCCCTCCTGACACAGCCAGCAGCCCAGGCCACAGACACAGGTTCTATGCACCGAAAGCCAGATGGTCTACCAGCCTCCAGCTCCTGTCCAATACAGCTCAATTCTCCCCTCAGCCACAGGGGATGCTTCGAAGGCAGAAGAGTTCCCCCACACCTAGCACAACTCCACCTAGCACAGCTCTACCACCCTGACCAGCAAGTGGGCAGACACTATAGTTCCAGCTGAACCGCACTCTTCTTGTGAGACTAGAATTCTGGCGGAGGCCAGGCAGAGAGCTGCCTCCTGACCAACCCGTCCCAACATACCAGGTTCCCTGCCAGTGAAAGCCTGGGCCAGATGGGCAGTTCACTCTTTATCCCAAGTTGTTGCTAGGAGTTTAGCGTACCCCTATGTGAGTGCCCAGCACAAGGGACCTGGAAGTCTGGGTCTGCCTCCTGTGGAGTTGGCACGATACACCACTGATTTCACCCCTCTTTCCAATCAAAGTAAGACATTTATCAGAGAAGATACTTTTGAGGATCTCAGCCTTGTAATTCATTCTGCATAAAATCACCTGCACAGCATTTTCAAAGAGGTATGGGTGTTTTTAAACTCCACACTTTATTTTGCTTAAATTATTTTTATAAATGGGATAATTTCACGTCAATAAAAAATATACCGAAAGGGGGCTGGGGGTTTAGCTCAGCGACATAAGTGCCTGCCTTGAAAGCAGGCAGTCGTGAGTTCGATCCCCGGTACCGAAGGAAAAAGACAAAATAAAAAGACAAAAATAAATAAATAAATAAATAAAATACCGAAAGGAAAAATGCAGATCCATCAACCAAAAACAAGGTAAACCGAAACAGGCATACACAAACATACACATACACATATATACACATATACACACACACATTTAAAAATTCTCTTCAAGGCTGTTGGGAAGGGAATTGGGCTTTTCGGTCACTTTTTTTTTTTTTTTTTAAAGATGGGCCTGGCTAGGCAATTCAGGCTGGCCATGAACTCAAGTCTCTGCAGCGCTGGGATCATAGGCGTGCGCCCTGTGCCTGGCAGCACACATCTGGCTTGGACGTTCTTAAGACCTCACACACCCACTTGAAATGGTCCAAACCCAGCGAGCCACACTTCTCAGCAACCCTACTCGCCCCCTGGACAGGCCCCACATGCTGGGCTCTGAATAACCATGCAAAGGCCAGAATTCTAGTTACCTAGTGTTTTCCTTTTGCTGGCATTCTCATCTCAAACTGGGGTTATGGGTTCTAAGACCATATTTATGAACCACGATTTAGGATATACACCCTGAAGTTTCATGGAAATTCCCAGGGACAAATAGCTCATGCTAAATTACTAGGGTAGCTGGCTGTTGAAACTATAGCTCTCTTCATGAATCCGGCCCCAGACTTTTTTTTACAGAAATATTAACACATGGGGCTGGGGATTTAGCTCAGTGGCATAAGCACCTGCCTTGTAAGCAGGCGGTCATGAGTTCGATCCCCGGTACCAATAAAAAAAAAAAAAAAAAAAAAAAAAAGAAATATTAACACAACTTCATGCGATTACATTTTAAAAACACAGGGCTGGGGATTTAGCACAGCGGCATAAGCTCCTGCCTTGCAAGCAGGCAGTTGTGAGTTCGATCCCTAGTACCGATAAAAATGAAAAAGAAAAAAAAAAATTTTTTTAAAAACACAGTTCATTTGCAAATCAACTGGGCAGGTGAAGGGACTTCAGTGACTCCTGCCCCTGGGAGTGACAGAACTTATGCCCATGGGATTTGTCTCAGCTCCTATTCCTAGTACTCTGCCCTTCAGGATGCCTACTGTGGCGGCTACAATGTGTCTGAGCTTTGCTGTCTGATCCCTGCTCTTGTCTTCTCTCACTTCTTCCCCTCGAGCATCTGTGACCAGGCTTGAGTTTTTCCATTTTGGGGTCCCTTTCCGGGTCCTCTGTTCTACCACATCAGGAAGTACTGACCTCAGGGGAGCCTCGGTAGTGCTTCCCTCCCACCCCCAAGTAGGCTTTCTGAGCCCTCTCTGAATTCCTGGTGCTATGCTTGTTAGGACCAGAGTCATCCTTTTCTTTTACCAACTTACTTCTGGGTAGTGAGGAGGAAGATGGCTGCTCTGACTGTCATGCTTCTTTTTGTCTGTTTTCTTTTTTTCCTGTTTTTTATGCTTTTCTGTGTATCTGTCACATTTAGAACCCTCAGATGAGCTCAGTGGGAAGATGCCAGTGCCACAGTCCTTACCCTGAAATTCTGTGGTCACATCATCCATTTCATCGGTAGGAGCCTGACAGTTAAGACACATGATCCATGTGGATGGTTTTTCCTTTGATCTTATGAGTCTTAAAGGTCAGAATTATGCCCCTCTTCTTAGCAGAGGAAACAGAATCCTTTGGATTTTCCAGTGTTATGTCACATAAAATTAATGTTAACAATCTCCTCATATTATGAGAACACATGGATGATGTCCCCTTCAGTCAGCTTATGAGGAAGTCCTTCCAGAATGACCCAGGCACTATCCTTGTACTTGAAATGCCAGCATACCTTTTCCACCACTCCAAGCTGGACCTCTCGCTCATTCAGCTCATTAGTCAGCATCACCTTAGTTAAAGGATTCATTTCCTCGGGTTTATGCTTGGCACCAAGACATCAGCTGCTGATCTAGGATATGCAACCCAGGCCTCTCTTTTCTTGTGTGAGACAGAGTCGCACCATGTAATTCAGGCTGCCTTGAACGCACTAGGTAGTCAGGCTGGCCTTGAACTAATGGTGGGTCTCCTGCATCAACCTCCCAAGTGCTAGTATTGCAGGTGTGTACCACCATACCTGACCTAAGTCCACACTTTAACACAGCAAAAACTACCATGAAATGAATGTTTTCCACAGGCCTTCTTGCTATCGACCTGAGAGTTAGGGCCATGCCACAGCTGCAATCCAAGAGTCTGTCACTATATTCTTAAGCAAGATAGGGTAACGACCAGTGTCCAGAAGCAAAATGCAGAGGAGCTTAGACATGCAGAATCGAATCTCCGTACTGACGTGCAAAATGTATGCCCTACAAAATATACATGCACAATAACCATAAGCCCTGTCACTCCAAAACTACCCTAAGGATCCCCGGAAAAAGTATCTTCCTAGTCCCAGCCTAAATCAAGCAGGACTCTCTGGTGTCCCTAGGGTGCCACTGTAAGATCACTGAGCTCTCAATGCCTACCCACAGCTGAGGAGCTGCATGACTGCCCCCAGTATCAGGACCAGGCCCACCACACCAGGTCAGCATTGCAAGAGCAGGTGCAGGGGGAAGCAGTGGACAGAGTCTTACCATTCAAGGATGTTTGAAGGGAGGGGTTCAGCACAGATGTAAGGCACTGGGTCTTTCTTAATCCGAAGGTAGTCCTGCTTCAGCCTCTGGGTTGCTGTTGTCGGAGCTCTCTTGTTGCTGTTGTTGCTCATCTATGAAAAACAGGCCTTTCTGTTTACAGAGATCAAAGAATGCTCACACATCCCTTTTCTTACCCACAGCCAGGGCTGGCAGTTTGGTGCCTCTGCCTCCCTCATTGTTGCTTAGGATCCACCTAGATCTCTGTCTCTCTTTTTCCATCTACCCCCACCCTCATTTATGCCGTGTTATTCAATACCTAAGGCAAATGCAAAGATAAAAATAAGCACAAAGCCTTACTGCAGTCCTCAAAGGACTTACATGGAGCAACACAACTAATGTAATGGGTTGTAGGTATGCTGAAGCCAGCCTGGACTCACCCCAAAGAGCAACCATGTACAACTCCTGCGGACTTGCTGGGATACCATAGAAACTGGCAAGCCTCACAGACAAGTCCTGTTTCTACTACCTCTCAACATTTACCACTAGTCACCAGTGACAGCAGCAGGGGACAAGAGAAGTACTAAGTACTAAGTACTGAAGATGGGGACCCTCAAAAGACTGGGCAACAGGGAAAAGGCATGCCTCAGGAACAGCGCTAGTGACTATCTCAGATGCCCAAGAACATTCAAGGGTGAGAGACAGACCACGTTGCCAGCAGTACCCAAAAGTGCTTGAGGATCCAGCCTCCAGGCAGATCAGGCCTTCGGTTAGCAAAATCACCCTGCCCATGTTCACACCTATAATCCCAGCACTCAGAAGGCTAAGACAGGAGGATCACCTCCAGACCAGTCTGGGCTACACATGAGTTCAAGGCCAGTCTGAATTACAGAGTAAGACCCTGTCTCAAAAAAAACTAAAAAACAAGATACCCTATGACTTGCATAGGACACACAGTATAGCAGCAAGGACTGTGTGTAAGGAATGAGATCACACTGTCATTCAAGGGAAGAGCCTGAAAAGAAAAAAAAGAGAGAAGAAAGGTCTGGATAGGGGACCCTGGGACCCTTCAGTCATGCTCCAGAGACCAAGGAGGGATAATAAATGGGGTCACAGGGATCCCTTCTGACACAGATATTGGAATAGCTCCAACTTGTTTCTTTCCCATACCAGAATTTCTCATAATTTAAAAAAGATAAAAAAAGTTCTGCTGCTAAAAATAAAGTGTGAAAAACACTGGTCTAAGACATGATAGAGAAAGGAGATACAGAACACACAGGACACAAAGGAGAGGAAGAAGAGTTTGGCCACAACATAGAAAGCAGGGGTTGGGCAGTCAGGGAGAGACGGCCACATCCTATGAAACCCTCAGCTCAGACCTGTTCACGGAAGGCTCTTCCTTTTTCTGCCTCCAACATTCTGCCACTCTGTCCCCAAAGCATCTCACATAGTACTCTCACGCTTTAGGCAGGAAGATCAAAAATTTGAGTCTGGGCAACTTATGAAGATCCTATCTCAAAATTTTAAAACTGAGCATGGTGTCACAAATCTGCAATGCCAGCACTCAGGAGGTTGAGGCAGGACAGTTGTGAGTCTGAGGCCAGCCTGGGTTACTTAGTGAGTTTTAAGGACAGCCTGAGTACACAGCGAGACTCTGTCTCAAAACAAAAACAAAACCCACAAGAAAATAAACATCAGTAACAGCCAGTGATCTCCATCCTGACCTAGCATCAGTACAAACCTAAAGTCAACCCACCCCAGTCTTGGGACCTCTACGTGGTTTCCTGCAGAGAGCCACACACTCATAGATATGTGTGTATGTGTGTGCGCACATGCACAGGTGCATCATCACATCTGGGAGGTCTCCAGACTCTCAACTCCTTTGCTCTGGTTTATGTCTCTACAGAGCACCATCTGCAGGACTGCTGTCTGCTTCCCTGACCACTGTTAGTGCCTACTGAAAACCAGGCCTTGGCCATGCTCACTGCGCCCCAGAATCTGTGAAAGGGCTCAGCGGGCTATGTACTACCGTGGTTCCCCATAGTCATAGCCTCAGCACCACGACCACTCCTGCTTCGCACTGGAAGCCCCTGATCCTTGAGATCCTTATCTACTTTTCCGTTCTCATCGCACTACCCTAATACTGGATCTCACGCTTTCCCTGTCAACCACAACAGCTTCTGGGCTCTTCTCATTTCAGCCTATGTTGGACAGTTAAGGCAGTATGATCATCTACTCCCCTCAAAAGCCTGTCAGGATCACCCCACAGCCAAGCAGGTAACATCCACGGCTTCCTTATCAGCCACGCCCTCAAAGTAGCCCAGGCCAGGCCCTTAGTTTCCAAGGTCCCTTACACAGCCCAGCCCACCTATCCTTTCTTTTGGCTACCATACTTCCCAGCCCAGTCAGAGTGCACTTACAGCTCTTCCCTACCTAGCCTGGGCCACATCCTCCAGAAGCCACCCAATTTCCCCAGTTAAATGCTCTCTTTGTCCTTCACCACCCATGCAGCCTAACACCACACCACACAGGAGCCTTTCAGGCCTCAACTGAGAAACAGTTAAGACTTTTGTCTGGCCCACCTCAAAAGTGCCTGTACAGAAAAGAGTTACAATCTTGACACTGGAAAGGGAGTACTTCCACACAGTACTGTCCCCAAGCTCTTGGTGTGATAAGGATGTAAGCCAGAGAAGCTCAATTCATGCCAACACCTACTAAAAACAGCAAGATATCTGAAGATTCCACAAACCAAACCATTACACAAAACCAGTTGTTTCTCAGCCAGACGCAGGAGATATACCCATAATCCCAGCACTCAGGATGGTGAGGGAGGAGAGTTACGAGTTCAAGGCCAGCTTGGACTATATAGCAAGACCCTGTCTCAAAAAAAAAAAAAAAAAAACTGGGCTAGGGATTTAGCTCAGTAACAGAAGTGTCTGCCTAGCAAGCACGAGGTCAAGAGTTCAATCTCCAGCACCAAAAAAAAAACAAAACAAAACAAAACAAAACTAGTTCTCCTAAATGTTCACTCTTACAGTTAGCATCCATCATGTACAAAGTAATTCACTGGATAATTTAATTGCAACTGTTTGGACTCAACTAAGTGGAAGTGGCCAGGTTAGTTGCTTAATGAAAGTTAGTGGACAACCACATAAAACAAGTAAAATAAATCCTGTCTAGTCAGTCACAAGGCAAACATCTCAATCACATTTTTCTTCTTCTTCTTCTTCTTCTTCTTCTTCTTCTTCTTCTTCTTCTTCTTCTTCTTTTTTTCTTTTGCAGTGCTGAGGATGGAACCCAGAACTCAGACAGGCAAGGCAAGCACTCTACCACTGACATATGTCTCCAGAATCATACTTTTCTTAGACACACAATCTTTTAAGTCATATCTATGATTCAACTACTGTTTCCCCAATTCTTGCTCCTTTGCCTCACTCAGAACCTTGCTTCTCTCAATTCTCTCTACCAAATGTGACAGCAGGAAAGACAAAGAGCAAAAACCTTGTAGGAATCAAATGTCAAACAGTGACAAGCACACATCCCTCAGGTTCACTCCCAACCAAGTCCCCACAGTCGAGGAGCAGTACATGTGTCCTAAGGAAAAAATGTATACAGGGAGGGGAAAAAAACCCTACAAACAAGGCACAGGCACAGATAAAAGTTAGCACATGGCACATGGAGGGGATGGGGGTTTAAGTCACTAGTGTAAGCGCCTGCCTGGCAAGCATAAGGTCGTAAGTTCGACTCCAGGCTCAAAACAATTTTTTTTTAAAAGTTAACACATGGAAACTGACACAAAGCAGCCTGCGTCACCGTGAAGGCCAGAGGTCTCTCCAATATCGCCATGCCAAGGTGGTGGGTTTTCATCCATTTTCCTCATTCCTTCCTCCTTCGACACCTCTCTCACACCAGTACATATAACTCAGGTGACGTAGTGGCATGAGACTTTAGCCTGACTGATCAGATGGGCATGTGACACACCCAGGATCAGGACTTCCTTAGAAGTCTCTCAGGGATTGCTCCACCACTGGAAGTCCAGGGCTAAAAGGGGCAGCCCCATCACCATGCTCACACACACACTTGCCTGAGGATGAAGCTGCCACAGAAGTCATCTGCGTCAAGCTGTGCAAATTACTGATTCCAAGTGCTAGACACTCCATGCCTGATGTTTCTGCAGGAGGCTTTTAACTAAATGAAACGATTAAGTTTCTTTCTTTTGTAGCCCAATTATACCAAGTTTCACTCACCTGAAGGGAACAGAGCCCAACACCACATGCTATAAACAAGCATGCTTTCTTCATGCACTTAATAGCTGACTCCCTAACGGGCTGCGTGGCTTTAACTGTCTTTTTCATGGGTCTCACAAAATGTGGCGAACTGCATTTGAGTTAAACACCTAACTGGAATTCAATGAAAAGGAAGCCATAGGTCATTAACTGGGATGGTGCAGGGAAGAAACAGATGTGATCGTGCAACCAGTTAAGGGCCGGTGAGGTCCTTTTGTTACATCACCCGGACGCAATCCTGAGCACGGTCATTTCCTTCCGTTGGGAGTTGGGAAGCAGTTTGGGGTTCTAACTGTTCAGGAGTGCAGAAGCAGCGATCTCCACGGTAGCGCTGCCAACACACATTCCCCGTTATGTACTCACAAACCAACATGAGTGCGGGCTCTTCCTGAAAGTGTCCCCAAAGTCCCGACGAAAGCGGCTTCGTCGGGGGAGATCCTGCCGCGCCACCGAGTCCTTATCCCCGGCCCGAGGCCCTGAGCGTCCGCCGTAACTGTCCTGGGGACTGCCGCGGGCGCAGCTCGGCGCGAACGGGGCGGCGAGTGGTGTCCCCCGCACCCCCCGCGGTGGCCCGGCGGGACTGAGTAGGGAACCGAGGCCCCGTCGTAACCCGCGCGTGCTCACCTCTCCCTGTCTCCGCCGGTGGGCCGCCGCCGCGCTCAGGCTCGCCGCGGTCGAGGCCGGAGCAGGGTGCGGAAAAGTGGCTCGTGTCAAAGAGCCACACCGCGCCGGGAATCAGCCCACCGCACCCGCCGCAGCGCCGCCGCCGCCACCCCCACCACGGTCTCAACTTCCAAGATGGCCGTCGAGAGGCGGCCCTTGGGCCGCTTCCGTTTCCGGTGCGCGATGTGCGGTGGCAGCCGCTCTAGGCATCTCGGAGAGCTGTGCTAGTGTCTCTATGTCGCCTATCGTCCCAGCTAGGTTACACGGTGCCGGCGCACCGGTACGGCAGGCGCATGCGCACTGGCGATCATCGCGGTAGTTCATACCCGCCCTTCTGGGCCTTGCCGCCCACATCGCTCTCTAGTCAGCGTCCCTGATTCCCTCAAGAGTTTCAGGGAGCCAGGCCCAGATCTAGAGTGACTCCAAATTCACAGCTCCAGATTCTTGTTTTTCCCCTTCCGCCGCTTTGCTTTTTTTTTTTTTTTTTTTTTTTTTTGACACAAAGTCTTGCTGTGTAATTCAGGCTGGCCTTGAACTCACTGTAATCCTCCTGCATCAGCCTCCATAGGGCTGGGATCCCAGGTGTGAGCCACCAGGGCTGGCTTTTGTCTTCTCTTAATGGAGGGCACGGGCCATGGTCTACCCCAAAGACCCTGCCCCATGGTTCCTGGGCAACACAGGCCTGGCCAATGCAGCGACTCCCCCACCCCACCCCACCATCCCAGCTGTCCTCATAAAAATAGTTTCAGTGTTTCCCAGGAGAGCTTTCCTCCCAGCATGAATGGGGTCATTATTCCATGGATGTCTGCTAGCCTTCTCCCACGGCCGCTCCCTGGCCCTAGGGAGAGGAGGACTTGGGGAACACAGTCCTGCCCCAACCCTGCAGTCCCAGGGGTGCTCAAGGATGTGGTCATGCTGGGCACAGCTGTCACATGCATGGTGACATGCATGGGTGAGGAGTGCACACTACTTTCTGGGTCCAGCATGGAGGGGGACAGGAAGGTGGACAACAGGAAGTGTGGGGCAATGGTGTCTGAACAGGAGGACCCCCAGCTAGCTGGGATGAGTCTCAGCCCACCACCTCCTCAGGAGGCAGCTAAGGACTGGGCTAAGTGGGGATGTGCTGTGCAGACAGGCTGTGCTGTGCAGCTGGGGCAGTCATCAGCCTCTGTAAGATGTAAGCCCCACTCCACATGCTTCACCCTGAGCCTGACTGCCCCTCAGGATCAATAATGGCCACCAGGATGGCTGACAGCTGAAAAATACCTGCTGTCCAACAGTGACAAAGGCCACCATGATTATCCAAGTTGGGACCACCTGGGCACATTTGTAGAGTGTGGGTGGCTGTGGCAGAGCTGATTCCTGGGCCCTGTGTCTGAACCTAGAGCCTCCGTACATACATCCGTTCAACATGGGAAGTTAGTCATTAGAACCCAACCCATTTCTGCTCCTCCTAGCCCTGGGATCTGCCCTTCAGCAGACTACAGGGTAGGCTGCATGTTGTTCAGAGGGTAGAAAGTTGGGTAAGGAAGAAGGGGACAAGCACAGCTGTCTTGGACATACCAGGCAATCTTCAGACAGCAGCCTTTAGGTTGCAGCTGCTGGCACAACAGGCTCTCTCCTAACTGACTGTCTTCACTAGAGATGGAGGCACCAACCTAGGTAGCATGAGCACAGAGGTGGGGAGGTTGCAAGGGAGGCTCAGCTCAGAGCCCCAGCATGATCCCTAAACCTCCTGCTCATTGAGCACACCTGGAGACCTGTGAGAAGCATTTGTGATCAGTAGGTCCTGCAGAGACCCCCATAGTTCCACCCCTGCTCACATACCTGTGACTTTCTATCTCTAAAATTTAGAAACCCAGGTAGGGAGTGGGCAGCTAGTGCTGGGTGTGGCAGTGCATGCCTGTAATCCCAGAATTTGGAAGGCTGGGGCATGAGGATCGTTGAGTGTTCGAGACCAGCCTGGCCTGCAAAGTGAGCTCAAGGCCAACCTGAACTGCATAGCAAGACCTTGTCCTCTGACCCCTAAACACCCTTCCACATCAGGAGGGACTGACTTCCTGTCAGCCAACACTATGAGTGACTAGGAGGAAGGGGACAGAAAGCCATGCTTCATCATCTTCTGCCAGGGCCATCCTTGGTGTGGTAACAGCTGTCAGGAGACCTAGAAGGGTCAGAGTTAAAAAATGTGCCCCGGTGGGAGCAGATCTACCCAGAAGGGATTGTCTTCCCAGAGCTGGGGGGGGGGGGGGAGTCCCAAGAGAGTGGCCTGAAGGCAACCCAGTAGGACACCTGCACAGTCTCAGTCCCCTGCCTCAGCCTCCAAGACAGCTGGGAATACAGGCACATACCTCTTCCAGAAAGAGGGCAAAAGTCCTGGTCCAAGGAGCAGGGCTCTCCTTCATCTCTTCTCTCTCTCATATATTCCACATCTTTCAATATAACGATCTTGAGTGCATTTTTTCATTATTTTGTCTTTTCAGGTTTTTTTTTCACCACTGGGAATGGAACCCAGTGCCCTGTAGACTAAACAGATCCTAAAATTTTGATATGTGTATCTTTTTTTCTTTTTGGCACTGGGGATTGAACTCACAACCTTGTGCTTGCCAGGCAGGCACTTATGCTCCTGAGCTAAATCCCCAGCCTGAACTGTCCTAAAATTTTGAGACAGGGTTTCTTTCAGTTGCCCAGCTGGGCTCAAATTTGGCAATTCTGCTGCCTCAGTTTTCCAGAGTACTGGGATTACAGATGTGCATGACCACACTCAGCTTTTTTTTTTTTAATACCAAGGAATAAACTCATATCCTTCATCCTGAGCTACAGCCTCAGGTCTTATTATCTTCGAGACAATCTTGCTAAGTCACTAAGGTGCCCACGTTGGGCTTAAGCTTGCGATCCCTCTGCCTCAGCCTCCAAGACAGCTGGGAATACAGGCACATACCACCATGCTGGGCTTCAACATGGAGTTATTTAATGACTCCAAAGGTCACTGTGGCTAAGAGCTGGGGGCACCTTTGTGCACCTCCAGCCTACATCCCTTGTGTAAGGGGTAGTGGGATATGGGGAGGCAGGTGAGGGCTGGACCAAATGAGAAGAGCACCTTTCAGCCTGACTGGCACTGGACATGTACTCCAGAACTGCCCCCACTCAGCACACAGATGCACTCCAAAATGTTTTGAAGGACATTCTAGTGACAATAAAGACCACAACTGCCTGAACCCAAACAGAAGGAATCCACCAGGCAAGGCAAACAAATGGGGTGGGGAAACAGGGAGCCAACAATAGAAAAATAACATGACAAGGACGAGTCAATACACATAAAGTATAACCATCATGTTAATGGTCTCAATTTACCAATCAAAAGACTGGCAAAGGGGCTGGGGATTTAGCTCAGCGGCATAAGCACCTGCCTTGCAAGCAGGCAGTCGTGAGTTTGATCCCTGGTACCGATAAAAAGGAAAAAGACAAAAAAAAAAAAAAAAAAAAAAAAAAAAAAAAGACTGGCAAAATGGATCAAGAAGCAACATCCAAAAATATGCTGCATACAAGCACACAGACTCAGGGCACAGGGCATAGCGCCCTTTCCCTTGGTCCTTATTGTTTCCCAAAGGGGTTTCCCAAGATGAGGCTGAGCCAGGTCCATGTGCTGCTGCCCTGTGTGCTGTGACTCAGGCTCTGAGGAGGCCTGGCCTCTCCCACTACTCTGCTCCTCTCCCAGTGTCCTCTCTGCAGCCCCCAGTCTGGAGCATGGTTGCTCCAGTGCCTGTGCCCTAGCAAGGGCCTGGGCCTTCCTCTTCTGCAACTGCACCAGAGTGTGGTCCAGCACAGTGTGGTCCTTGGATCTCCCTCTAAAGGAACATGGATCGGTTGTGGGGCTGGCACTCTGGGCCTGTGCTGAGTCTGGGGCCCCAGCATCACCTACGCCAGCTCACCCTGTCCACGAGCCTCAAACATGAAGAGTCACTCACCTTAGTCCCAGGATGACTCAGAAAACAGGCCGAGAGGTTGAGTAACTTGGGCACAGTCACACTGCCAGTGGGTGACAGAGCTGTAATTCGTGCCTGGTGGGGGCAAGTCCAGTTCTTCCCCAGTGTAACTTCCCTCTTTCAGGACATCACCAGCAGCTACTGCCTCCTTCCAGAACCATTAGGCTGATAACCTCACAGCTCCTCAGAGCTGAGGCCCAGGTGGGCTTTGTGGCCTGCTCCCTCCCTTCTCCCTCCCTCACCCCAGTCAGGTCCATGGCTGCTGAGGGTATCAGAAGCACAAAGCCCATCCATCCTGAAGAGGGCACAGAGGACTGCAGCCCACCCCATACCAGGCCAAACTTGGGACAGGGAGCCCAAGCTCCCTTGGGTCATTTTATAGGGTCCCCAGTAGAGACAGGGATGGTGGGAGGTCCTGGGGGCAGGGATTTGCACCTGATATGGGGCGAGGCCTTGACCTGTGTGTAGCTATCAGGTGTGCTGTAGCCTTAGCTCAAGCAGTGCTTTTAGAGTGTGGTATGTGGTCCTAGCATGCAAAGCATCATCTCAGGTGCCATTGGAGGAGACCTCAATGGGGAGAGACCCACCCTCTCAGGTCATCAGGTACCACCTGCACACCCAATCGCAGGCTGTTCTCACAATTAACACTCGTCCTCCAGCTGTGTTGACTACCTCCAAGGAACACCTTTGTTCTGGCAGTGGAGATCCCCACCTGGTGTCCCTCAGCCACATACACCTGTGGTCAGAGTGGAGGTGTCAGCTGGACAGCTGATGATAGACCACCATCCCTCTAGGCCTGCATGAGCAAAGTGGCAGGGTGGCAGGATCCAGGGCAAACCAGGCTTGCTGGGAGTCTGAGCTGGGTCACCCAGTGCAGACTTGACTTCTCCTATGGGGCCTGCTGTTCCACACCCAGCTGGGGTCAGGGAGCTGGGCCTCTTCTCTACCCAGTCAAGGGATCCTACATGTGGACCTTCCCAAGAACTCACCTCCCAGGACCAGAGTGGGTGTGGTTGCCTTGCAGCTGGGCCCTCCCCTGCCACCCACCCCACACCCAGTGGCCAGTTATAAAACAGGATGTCCAACCACATCCAGCTGTGTTACCTGAGGGAGCTGGCTGAGCGTAATACCACTGATGAAGATGGAGCTACTTGCAAAAGAAAGACCAAGCCTTGAGGTACCAAGGGTGCTTGGTATAGGCTCTGTCCCCATGCTTTGTTCCTGGGGGGAGCTGTGTAGATGAGGGTAGGTGAGCTCTTGGATCTGCCTGGCCTGAAGTGCAGGGCTGCATCCCACCTGGTGGTGCTTGGTGGGCATATAGTGGACAGAGCCCCCAAGAATATTCCAAAGACTGTGGGAGCAGGGTGGACACACAACAATGGGCAACCACCACATAAATGTGATCCACATGTGTTGGTCACACCACATATGCGTGGAGCCAGGCAGAAAGAGGCTGGTGTGGTCTTGTCTCTGCAGGAAGAGAGTAGGAGGTCTGTGGAGCACACACAGGCTGGGTTATGGATCCTCCTGTCACATGGCCCCCTGAGTGAGGGTTTGGTGTGTTTTGGGCAGGCTCCCAGTGTTTATGAGTGTATATGTGTGTGTGCATGTGTATGTTCTAGTACATGTGCTTGTATGCACCCATGTGAGTGTCTGAGCCTCTCGGGTCTTGGAGGACAGCTCTGGTGCCCAGGTGAGCCCATGACTCAAGCTCTGTCTTGGGAATCCGGGCCCTGCCCAATCACCAAGCAGCCCTGGAGTCTCCGGCTGCTCCTCTAAGACCACTCTGGATTTTTCCTTTCTCTGGGCCCTCTGCTTTTGCTTCCTGTAACACGCAGCTGACCATCCTACCTTACCTATGGGGCTTGATATGATGTGGCACATGTGTGAGCAGAGCTCTGCTGCATGTGCAGGCATGAGCTCTTGGCCAGGGTGCTTCAGGGAATGTGAAGGCCACAAACCTGAGGGAAGAGGCCTAGGGTCAGCTCCACCTGTGCATCTAACAGCCCCTGAAGCTGGCTAGCTTGCTCTGCTCTGTGACCCTGAGCACACTGAGCAGCTTGCTCAAGCATATTTGGTGGGCACAGGATGACTGGGTGGCAGCAGATGCCTACTTAGGGGTGGGCAGAAGGGTAGAGGAGGAACTCTGCAGGCTGTATCTGGGCACCCAAAGACTTCCTGATTCAGATCAGGATAGGGACTGTACAGAATGTCTTCATGGATCTTGTTCCCTGACTCAGAACCTGTCAGGCCCAGGGTACCCAAGAACCCAGTTGTCTATGCTGGGAAGACTGGGCCCTGGGCATGTCCCAGGACACCAGAGCCCAGGACAAGGTAGGAGTGAGGCAATCAAGCCAGCCTTAGCAGCAACTCAACCTCCCTGGACCCCCAGGTCCTAGCCCCCAGAGATGGCTAGCCCACTGGCCCACTGGTTCCTGAGCCCACCTGTCCTGAAGCCTGAGATCTTTCTTGGACACTCATCTACCAAGACAATGCCCCACTCTGGACCTTCAGTGCTGAACAATATTTCAGCCTGACCTTAACCCACACTTGGCCAGATAAGCCTGACAGTACCGTCCTAATCAAAGCAGCTACCCTGGCAGCTGCAGATTGGCAGAGGCCACTGAGACCAAGAGACAGTCTTCCCCCGGGGCCAGGACCACACGACCAGGGTCATAGCCCTTCCCATGCAGGTCACCTGGGTCTGTCCCTCCCCACAGCACAGATTCATGGCTTCACTCTCCTACAAGCACGAGTCTGGTGTAGTGTGCTGCCCACCACCAAGCTCAGCTCTGGCCCATGGTCACCCTGGTGGGGGGGCATCCTGGGAGGAAGGATGCAGGATTGGTCTCAGTGAGGACCAGCCTGTGATGGGGCCTCATTCAAGTGTCCCAAGTGTGTGTAGGCACAGAGAATAGAAGGATGCCAGGCCCCTTGCTGGAGCCCTTGCTGGAGGTTCAGGTTGGGCTGGGTGGCAGGCAGACCCTGTTAAGGTTTGCTCCTTGGATACAGGTTGGAATCATGGCCCAAGCAGCCAGCACAGGGTCTGGAACCTTGGAAATCCCCTTGGGCCAGCCACCCATGCCACCCCTGGAGCGGGGTCACAGGGAGAAACTAGTGGAGATTCACACCTCTTTTGGGGAGCTGCTCACCTTCTTTTGCAAAAACACCACCATCCATGGCACCATCCGATTGGTCTGCTCCAGCCCAAACCGGCTCAAGAAGGTGTCCTGGGGGCTGCTGCTCCTGGGGACTCTGGGGATGCTCTACTGGCAGCTCGGGCTCTTACTGGAGCAGTACTGGCGCTATCCAGTCATCATGGCAGTGTCTATTCACTCGGAGAGAAAGCTCTTCCCATCTGTCACTCTTTGCGACATGAATCCACAACGGTGAGAGCTTGGGGTATTGGCATGAGGGGTGGGATCCCCAGTTCCTAGTCTCTGCAGCATGGGACATCTTGGCCATGATCGTGGTCAAAGCCCCACTGGTCATTGATAACCCCACCTCTCCCACTCAGCTAAGACCTTTCAGGGCCACAGGTGCTGGGACCTCAGGCTTGAGGAACAGAGCCAGGCTTTCCAGAAGGGAAGGATCCATGTGGAAAGGGGCTGTGGACTGCCTGGAGGACTCTGCCTGGAGGACCCCAAGCCCTGGGAGCCAGGCTAGGTTGGGGGTATGATCTCAGCTCTGCATCCATGAGAGGGTCAGGTCCAACACCCAATTCAGAGCCCCAATTCAGAGTCTTAGGGAAGAGAAGGGACACTGAGGGCACACAGCGCTGAGGTACTGGGGGATCCTGCAAGACTGTTCCAGAAATACTGACCATACACCCCATATCTGACCCTGTCCTTAGGCCAGGTTCCCTCCACTACCATCTAGAGGCACTGGATGCATTTGCCCAGGAGAGTATCTATTCACTCTACAAGTTCAACTTTACGGAGGGCAGGGACACCCCATTCCCCAATGTCCCTGACCCAAAGTCCCCATTCAAGCTGGACCGAGGAATCCAACTGCAGTGGCTGAAGCATCTGGGCAACCAGCACAAAGTGGGCTTCAAACTGGTGAGGAGGGGGTCCTGGGCATGCTACTCCCAGGGGAGGTGTGGGGGTGGGCGGCCAGCTGCACTGACTCCACCCCTCCCAGTGTAACAGCACAGGTGGCGATTGCTTCTACCGCACGTACTCATCAGGCGTGACAGCTGCCCAAGAGTGGTACCACTTCCATTACCTGGACATCCTGGGCCTGACACCCACTGCCAGGGAGGACAGCCACCACAGTCATTTTGTCTTGTCTTGTCGCTACAACAGCGAGGACTGCCAGGCTCAGTGAGTGGGTACAGCTGGTGGGCCACTCATTGTAGCTCCTCAAAGCACAGCATGGTACTGCCTGGGTCCAGCTGGCCAGGCACCAGGAGTTGGTTGCCCAGGGCTGGCTACAAACAGCGCCCTGCAAAGATAAGGTTAGGCTATGGCTCCTTAGATGTGCGATGGGTTAGATGACAGACATGCATGATCTGAGTGCGGCCCTGGGTTGCAGGCACTTCCGGAAGTTCCACCACCCTACATATGGCAGCTGCTACACCTTCGAGGGTGTCTGCACAGCACAGCACCCAGGCATCACCCACAGTGAGTGCAAGCCCACAGAGGGAACAGGGATGTGACCCCGGCCAGGTGACCTCACACTTCCCGGTGGCCTCCGCAGAGATCAACCTGATCCTCAGGACAGAACCGCGAGTGGGGCTCCCTCTGCTGTCTACCGAGGCCGACATTAAGGTCATGATTCACGGACACAACCATACGCCCTTCCTGGAGCACCGGGGATTCAGCGTCCGGCCTGGGACTGAGACCACTATCGGCATCCGCGAGGTAGGGGCGGGGGCGGGGCGGGGCGGGGGCAGGAGGAGGCGGGACTTCACGTTGAAAGCCCCGCCCCCAGGACGAGGTGCGCCGGCTTGGGAGCCCCTACAGCCGCTGCACTGACGGCGCGGTGAGCGTGGATGTGCCTCTGCTCTACAACTCCTCCTACACCCGGCAGGTGAGTCTCGGGGAGGCGAAAGCCCGCATGAGTGAGGCGTGCGTACGCAGACAGACCCCGCTCATGTCCCCTCTGTGCCCTAGGCCTGCCTGATGTCCTGCTTTCAGCAGCTGATGGTGGAGAGCTGCTCCTGCGGCTACTTCCTCCACCCCCTGCCGGCGGGAGCCCAGTACTGCAGCCGCGCGCGGCACCCGGCCTGGGGTGAGCATAGTGGGGATGGTCTCTGGGAATCTGTGTAGTTCTCTCCCTCCTTTCACTGGTGACATCGCCGCACCCTGCCCAGGTCACTGCTTCTACCGTCTGCACCAGGCCCTGGAAACCCACCGGCTGTCCTGCGACTCCCGCTGCCCCAGGCCCTGCAGGTGAGCCAGGCAGTGCTCCAGGCCCGAGGTCACTGCCCGTCGCACTTGCACTTGCAGGCTATGACCGCTGTCCTGTCCTTTGCAGGGAGACTTCGTACAAGCTGTCCACCACGACTTCCCGGTGGCCTTCGGCCAAGTCAGCTGTGAGTACCGAAGGGTTTGGGGTGGGGTGGCGGCGACTAAGGAAGGAGGCAAGGTCTCTCAGCCTTCGTTTCTGCGTAGGACTGGGTCCTGGATGTGCTGAGAGGGGAGACTCCGAGCCTGAGCCTGAGCCCAGGGCGATCCCAAGCCCCCCGGAGCCACGAGGCCAAAGTGAACATCTTTTACCAGGAGCTCAACTACCACATGGTGGATGAAGCACCTGTGTACTCGGTGAGATCCATGGCCTGGGGTAGGGATTGTCTAGATGCATGCAGGTGAGAAGGCCACAAGTAACTGCTTGCCTAACTACCCACCCTAGGTGCCGCAGCTGCTGTCTGCCATGGGGAGCCTCTGGAGCCTGTGGTTCGGCTCCTCTGTCCTCTCTGTCATAGAGCTGCTGGAGCTACTGCTGGATGCCACAGCCCTCACCCTGCTGCTGGGCTTCCGCTGGCTGCATGGGGCACAGGTGTCCCAGCCTGAAACCAGCACTGTGTCAGTGCTACCCTGCACCTCGCCTGCGGCCAGAGGCTGTGGGACTAAAATCAGAGACCCTGGGCACCCAGTGGTGGCTCTGGAGAGGGTCTTGATGGAGGAGTTAGGCTGAGCTCCAGCACTCATACCCTCACCAGCCTTGCCAGAACATCTGGTCCTGGGCCTAGCCCTGGGAGTTGTGCACAGGAGTGTCCCCCGGCCATTCAACATCAAGGAAGCAGCATGACCCAGCTGGAAGGCTGGTCAACATCAGGCCCACTCAACACATCAGGGCCTCTCTTTGCCCACCCTCCCCGGGGGTGGCCACTTCAGTCTTCAGGAAGCTCAGGACAGGAAGGAAGGGTGTTCTTAACTCTCCATACACCTATATCCTAGATATGAACCTAGAGCCTCTATGAGCAAGTGTGGCCAGAGGTGCCTCTACCTCCTGGTGTGTCTGATTGGTGTCTTGTCTCTGTTTCTAAGGGAATTGGCTCTGTCTGTACCTGTGTGTAGGTACGAGGTTCTGGCAGAGCCTGCCTTAGCCTCAGGGCAAGCAGGGAGGAGTGTGCCCCGATCCTATGGACTGCTCTGTAATAAAACTGGGAGTAAAAAAATAATAAAATAATAAAACTGGAAGTTCCACCTGATGACAAGCGTGTCTGTGGGTCTCCCCGGTCTCTCTCCTTGGGCTGAGCATCATTTGGGCACACGAGGGGCCTAGGCACTCTAGGATCAGACTGGGATACCAGTCCCAGGCCATTGTTATTGGTTGGCTGGTCCACCCACCTCACTCCTACTGAAGGACATGACAGCTCCCAGAGAAAGTTAAGATGGACCAGGGAACAGGGGTTGGTAGTGCCAGGAGTCAGAGAAGCCCCAGGTTTCCCATCAGGCCCTTGGTAGGTTGTCTGAGTTGTCTTTTTGCGGCGAGGCGGGGAGGGGGGTTTACCAGGAATCAAACCTAGGACCTTACACTTAACAGAGAGGTATGCCACAGAGCTGTATCCCTGGCCAGCCTGAGTTTCCCTTTTGAGAAAGGGATATTGGTGGTATCCTATTCCAGGCTGCCTTTCAGGAAAAGCAGAGGATGCAGACCCCCCCCCCCAGCAGAGACAGAGCAGAGTGAGGAAGGTGAGCCAATGAGCAGGCAGTGGGCAGATTTATTGACTGGGAGTGATCAGAGCAGGGGTATGGGGTCTTGCCAGCCGGAAGATGGCAGAGTGGGTGGTGGGCAGGGCTCAAGCAGGGAGGAAGAAGCTAATTTTGCTCTTTAGAGTCACAGCCAGCAGGCAGGGAGTCAGGGGCCCAGTTCAGTGCCCACCTTACCACCCGTGGAGCCTCCATGGGCAGCATTTGCATAGTGACCAGCCAACTGGTCTGGACCTGACTAAGAGCCCATAGTTTTGAAGAGACCCAGCCTCTGGGCTCTTTCAGAAAAAGGAAATTTGAAGGCATCTGTGGGCCCACAAGTGAGGGACAGACCTCTGAACCCATTGGAGGGTCCAGCCCAAGGGACAAGGCCAGCCAGAGGCAGGGCAAGAGGTATGGAGCCTACCCCTAGTGGCAGGCAGAGCCAGGGTCAGGATGGTCCTCAGGAGTCCACAGAAAAAAGACGCAGACAAGAACAAGGTCATTGTAGAAAATCCACTCAGTGGGTAACAAAGAACATTGGGCACAGGGTAGGAAGGGCCAGTTGCATTATGCACAGGCTCTGGGCCAAAAGCCAGAGATCTGCCTCTGGAGGAGGCAGGGACAGGTCTGGCACTGGGGGCCAGCATGGCCAGCCACCTGGCCATGGGATGCCTGCGTCCAGCCAGGGCAGTGGCCCTAGGCCAGCGCCCCATCCACCCAGCACCCGCAATGTCCAGCCTGAATGGTAGGTCACTAAGTGAGGTACTTGGGTTGGTTCCCTGGATGGGCCGCACTCCTGCCTGAGAGGGCACTGGCGGCCAGCCACCAGCCCCCTGTCACAGGAGGGGCTCAGGGGATTCAGGGGGACCCAGCTAGTGGGTCATTGCTCTGGGGCAGTGAAGATGAGGGCACCAGGTGACACAGGCCCTGAGGGCAGAGGGGCACAAGGTGACATAGGATTCAAGAGTGGTTTGTGAGCAACCCGGGTCCCCAGTGAAGGGGTCACCTGAGGCCAGAGAGTCCTCGGGCAGGGTGAGGGGCACCAGATGATGCAGCACCCCTCAAAACGTGGGGCTTCAAAAGACTCAGTGCTAGGATGCCCCTCCCAGGATGGGAGGCACCCGAGGGGCCCAAGACCAGGCACCGGAGGGAGGGACGAGCAGGCAAGTGAGCTCCAGGAGCACCCGGGCGCCGGGCTGTCAGGATAGACCCACGGCCCACACGCACAGGGCCGTGGCTGGGCTGGGGCCAGGATCTTCAGGGGCATGCATGGTGTCCGGGCCGGGCAGGCTGTGGTCCCACAGCTGTCCGGCAGGCCCGGCCCTAGCTCTCCTCCAGGTGGAGACTGATGAATTCCTGGATGCACCTGCGGTACTGCAGCTCGGTGGGGCTGCTGCCCACCAAGGGCCCTGGTTGGCCAGACGGCGCTTCAGCCTCCCGCATCTCCTCTGCCATGCGTGCCAAACGGAGCCTAGAGGAGGACTCAGCGTAAAGCCCCTCCCCTCCGGTGATGGTCCCACCCTCCGTGGTGGCTCCGCCCCCAGCCTGGCGCTCACAGCGTGACAATGTCTGCGTTGGCCGCCTGCACAGCAATGTTGAGCGGGTCCTGGTCGTCTTCGTCCAGGGCGTGCTGATCGGCCCCTCGCTTCAGGAACAGGCAGACCTGGCTGGGGGCAAAGGGCCGTGTCGGGGTGGGCCGGGGGCGGGGCAAGTAGGCCGGCGGAACCGCAGACTCACCCGGTACGGCCTAGGAGCGTGGCGTGATGCAGGGGCGCGCGGCCCCGGCTGTCTCTTTGGTTCACATCCGCTCCGTTTTGCAGAAGAAACTCGCACACAATCAAGGAACCCTGGGGAACAGGCACCAGGGCTCACATCGAGCCGGGAAACGCCTCTCGCGGCCCCACCCGCGCGCCGGCTGGGGCAGCACCCGCTCACCCCTAGCACTGCCTGCACCAGCGGAGTCTTGCCCTCATCCTCCACGTCCGCCCAGTTGACCTCGGCCCCGTGGGCCAGTGCCGCGGCCAGCGCGGGGAGGTCGCGGGTGCGCGCCGCGCGGTGCGCCAGCAGCCCAGGGTGCAGCTCGCGCACGTCCGCCAGATTCCAGGACTCGGCCTCCCCATCCACCTCACCACTGGACTCCTCGGATTCGGCGCCCTCTGCAGGGAGTGTCTGGTTAGCCTGTGGCCCTCGGAGGGCGAGGAGTTCTGGGGCAGGGACTGCAGAAAGGGGGAGTACCACCCACCCTCCTCGGTGACACTGTCCACCACCGAGCCCGCGCCGAAGGCCAGGACATCAGAGCTGCCATCGGAGCTGCCCCCTAGGCCACTGTCGCTGCTTAAACCTGCAGGACCGAATGGGAGGGGCTCTTGGACACTGCAGCTCCCCTCACGCTCGCGGAAAGCTGGTTGAAGTATAGAGTCCCACCTTCTGTCCAGGGACACCCCCAAGGACCAACCCTTTTTGAGGATTCCAGGGGAGACTGTCAGAAGAGGAAATCTGAACAGCACCATGGGGGGGGGGGGATGGGTGGGCCGGCGCAGATCTTCCTCCAGCCCACAGCTTCCAAGCAGCAAGGGAGGAGCCAAAGGCTTTGGATCAGCGTAGCAGTGCCCTCTGCTGCCTGTCTCCCAGCCTCACCCAGAGGTACACACCACTCCGACACAGGACCTGCGTGCACATAGCCTACATATTCACACACACTTTCACACGTCGCTTTCTGGGTGAGGCCTCAGCTCTAGTGAGGTTGCCAAGATACCCCGACTCCTTAGGATGCCTTTCCAGGCTTAGCTGGCTGATACTCCAGTTCTCCTGCTTGGCCCTATCCCTCCTGCTGGGTACATGTGTCCTTCCAGTCCACACTTGTCCACTTCCCTGGCCCCTCTTCTGCAACCCTGCTGGGGTGACAGCTGAGGGTGGGCAGTAGGGTGGGGCCCCAGCACTTACTGCGTGGACCAGCCCCGGCAGCCCCTGCATCAAAGTAGGAGAACAGGGAGTCCAGCTCATCTGGGCAGAAGAGGGAGTCCCGGCGGAACCTGCGCTCCAGAGTGCCTGCTGCAGGAAGGAGGTAGCTGCTTTTCAGATGGGGAAACTAGCCCCAGTGGGGAGGGGGAGTGTCCCTGTCATGCTAGCAGAGGAGCAGAGCTCCAAGGTGGCCCCTCAAAGCCCTCTCTCTAGCTGACCTATCCCACCAGGACATTCTGACTTACAGCATACCCCTATCCCCACTCCCAGTGGCTTCGGGGAGCCCGTCCTCAGGTGCTGCCCAGGGACTGGAGGAGGCTCTTACCTGAGGACAGAGCAGCCAAGGAGGGGAGGACAGGCTCCAGCCTGGCCTTGCGGCGGGTAGTGGGGATGCGGGGGGAGCTGTGGGGGCGTTGGCACTTCTGTGCCTGCCAGCGCCTTGGGGCTTCTAGGGCAGGTACTGTGGGGAGCTTGTGAAGAAACTTCTTTTCCACGTATTTGTCTTTGATCCAGGCTTCCTTGTCCTGTCTGGACCAGGAGAGATGTGAGCTACAATCGAAGGTGGGGGTTTCCTGAGCCACGCCAGGCTGTACACCTCCTACCTGGGGCTACTGGCTGTGGGCTTTCTGCTACTAGGGCCCTCGCACTGGGCCTCGTAGATTTGGTTCACGGTGCTGTTTCCAAGTTCGCACATCAGCTGGTGGAGTGGGGTGTGGACATCAGTCAGTCAAAGCTCAGAGACCTGGGTCCCACCTCCCAAAGGCCCAGTGGCCTTCCAGGGCCCCCAATGCACCTTCAGCAGCTCTGGCTCCCAGGAGTCCAGCGTCAGAGATCGCACCTTGGAGCAGTGGACACCAAGGCTCCTGAGCAGAAGGCCAGGGCCAGGGATAAGTCAGAGCTTAGCCTCCCCCAGCCTGGGTCCCACCTCAGGCTCCGCCCTGCCCTCTGGAGTCAGGAGCACCTGTGGATGCCTGAGCACTCGATGCAAAGTAGTACCCCCAGGTTGATGCTGGCCCAGCGGGGGTCTGGCTGGCCACAGTCGCCACACTGGCTGTTGCCAGCCACACTCTGTACCCGCTGTAGGACACTCTCGCCCTTCACACCGCGCTCCCGAGAGTCCGAGGTGGAGTCAATGCTGCTTGTAGACGGGGATGCTGTGCGGTCCAGCCTCTGTGAGATGGTCCAAGGAATCACTAAGTCCTGTAGGAGCTCTAGTCTGACTCCCCACTGAGTCCTTTCTCCCTAGCTAGGAAGCCCAGCACAGGCCAGGGCCCCTCGAACATGACCCTGCATATGCATGTGTATGCACACATGCACACACATGCATGGAATGCACACACAGGCTGCAAGCACACATGCAGCCGGTAGCAGCAAGATCATGGGTATACATGTGCATGTGGAGGACAGGGAGGGCCACACCTCACTGTAGCAGCTGTCAGGGCTCTCTCGGTAGGCAGAGGCAATGCTGGCCTGCACGGCTTGAACCCAGGCCTGGCGTAACTTCTCTGAATCAGCCTGCAGCATGCAGCTCCTGGAGGGAGGGG